GAAAGGTCCGCGTTTATATTTGTTTCTTTGTCTTCTGGTAAATAAACATTTTCTTTCCAGGTAGTGGTATACAGGGTAGCATGACTGAACAAATGGAGCTATAGAGATCACAGTTATGTGATATTTCAGCTGCATTTGATGCTACACACATTAACCAAAGTATAAATTGCACTTCTTGTCAAATGAGCACACATTTTAACAGTACATTAATAATCCACTATACATATATCAAACTACATTCAATGCAAAGAGGAGAGAGAGAGAGAGAGAGAGAGAGAGAGAGAGAGAGAGAGAGAGCGAGAGAGAGAGAAAGCATGAGAAAAAGCTGTGATATTTAACACGGTTGCATTGGCTGGGCCTGTCAACATTCAGGCCATCAGTACTTTGCTGTCGTAGTTAGCTTTCTGACACACTAAATTAAATAAAAGCAGATGTATTCCATGGTAAGGCCTATAATCTGAAGTGAATACACACTGTAATTTGTAAAATGACCAACTTCCTTCACACTGTATCATTTGCATAACATGCCTTAGTATGATCCAAAATTCTTCATATTAACAGAGACGCAGCGGAAACTGACATCAGAAGCCAAAACAACTGAAAGGAATGCTGTTTAGAACCAAAATGCCTTCATTTAAGAAATTATAGAAAAATAAATAATGTACCACTTAAAATACTTGAAACAAATACACAAATATATGCACAAAAAAACTTTAAATTGTTACATACATAAAACCCCAACAACAATAAAGAAACCTGTTGTGTAGTTCTTGCCACTGGTAGAGCACATCAACTGAGCTGATGATGACCTACGATCAGTTAGCACCATTATAATCTATACAGATGTGCATCCATTCTTTATAATGATGAGATGAACTGTACAATCAAACAGAAACCATATGGGAATAAATCTTCTCGAGTCCACCTGTGGTTGCTGCTACATCACAACAAACTGTTGGTTTTTTTTTTCACCTCTGCCCTTACAGTAAATCATTCATGCATATTCCTAAAGTTGAAGAAAAGAACTGCGAGTATCACCTTGCATAGCACCCACTATGTCAGAAGGCTATATGAATATAAGTAATGTGAAAAGATGAATAAACCGTGGTGGAAAAAAATAAACCTAGCTCTGACCTACTGCTCCATTTATTTTTGCTCCATCTGATATGGAATGTGAAATAACTGGCCACCAGTTAGCTTGTGGTTTATTAATGGAAATTGACTCAACAGTGTCTATCAAATTTAGCTTTTCTGGCACTGTATTAGCATGTTTTCTATATGTTTAAGACAATACATTAGAAGTGTAACGCAACTGAGACGGTTCTATTCAACAAAATCTGCCTTAATCTGAAACACCAGTGACTGTGTGTTCAGCTAAATCTGACTGTTGCTTTGTTAGAGCTGAATGAACCCCCCCCCCCCCAAAACCCTGCATGAAACAAAGCTGGATGTTCAGCTCCTCTAAAACAATTCTTATTTTCAATATCTAAGAAATCCATAAGTAATAAATTGTGTACATGCAGTGAACTGACAACACTGTACAAACAACATCCCATACAACAAGTCCAGAATGAACAAGTAGCATATTTGTTACGGTGCTGTACAATGAGCTTCTTCAAAACCACGAGTTAGATCAGAGGCTGTACAGTCAAGGTGGACACAATCTTACTGTATGCTCGGGCGAAGCTATAACCTAATGCTATTTCAACATCCTGTAAAAAGTCATGTGAAAAACAGTGCGCAATGTGTGTCTTTTCAATACTCTCAAACACAGCTTAACCCTTCTGAAATAAACACCATTCCAATAATTAAAAATATGATATAAAGTTGTACATTTCTGATAAAGGAATGAATAAAAGCTTGAGGCACCAAAGGCTATTATACACAAAATACAAACAATGTTTAAGAATGAGAGCAAAAAAAAAAAGAGAAATAAAACAAAGAAAAAAATATGATTGCATTCTGTTGACGCTCTCAGTAGACCCTGAAAGCGTTGCCTGTCAGGAGAGGCAGATGCTCCAGCTGATCTCTATGGAGATCGATGAGCGACTCTCCTGCAGAATCCATTCCCGTGCTCAAAAGGGGGGTCCCGAGCAGGCCTGTCCTTTCTCAAATCCTTTGCGAGCCCGATTTGTTTTTCCTGTCGGTGCAGTGAGCCTGCCAAGTTCTCCCCTCTTGTCTGGAGACGTGTGCGGCTGTTGGGGGCACCACACTGATGATGCTGAGCCACGAGTGCAACGGTGAAAACCTGCTGATATCATACCCTCTGCAGGCATCACCACAATAAAGCAACAATAACCAACAGCTTTACTTTCTGGGGATTTTCAGGCTACCAGCCATGGCGTGACTCCCTTGGGAAGATTAAAGGAAAGCAAAAATTACTAATTCAGAGCTCTGGGTTTGTTTTTTGTTTTTTTTGTTTTTTTATGTTAGTGTTGTTGTTTTTTTTCTGCAGAAGCCATGACGCAACCACAAAACAGTGACATGTATGTACAACACATATAAATATAGTTTCAGTACACTACTCATGCTTTTGCAGGGGTCAGGGGTGCAATGTTCTGTTTGGCACAGTCTTTTTTTGTTGGTTTTTTTTTTTTTTTTTTTTAGTCTTCTAGAAAATGGTGCTGCATGAATGGGTGGTGAGCTTGTTGAGACGAAACACAAAACACCTAGCGTTTGGTGTTAGAGAGCCAGTCCAGATCCCCTGCCTTCACTTCCTCCTCCTCCTCCCACGTTTCCTTTCACCCCTGCGAATCTGGCCGGGCTGCGACGCTCCAGTCTGAGCCATGCAAAGACTAAAGAGACAAGTTCTGCCGCCAGCCAAGGATCTGAACTCCACCACGACGTGGATGTGAGAGAGCAGACACACACGTTTTTTTTCCACACGGCGATGTGAGTAGAAGCAGCTTAGGGCGTGAAACTTGGGACGGTTATCTCTTTTTGTATCATCGTACACATAGACTTCTTGTTTCTTTTAGACTATTTTTCCATTAAAAAAAACTATAAATACCATAAAAGAAGCATTATTTACAAACTCCATGCGTTTCAGGTTAGAGTGATCACTGCAAGAAAAACACAGGAGAGAGAATGACATGAAGATGAAGACGTTTTCATTTGGTTTCATGACAGAGTTGTACAATCTGAGTGAGATTTTTCACAAACAACAGTATTACTATTGAGACAGAAAACCCATGCAGACATAGAGAAGCAGAAACCCACATGAAAAAAAACTGACACAGAGTGAACAAAATCTTAGGAGAACTTTCTACACATACTGCGGTTCTGTGATTGAAGTCTGTCATATTAAAGACAGAATATAATCATCTTACCTTCTGCCAGCATCCAGGCATTGGTAATCCATCTGGGCCCTGTTTAGAGAAGAGGAGCAGGGAAGAAAAAAGCAACTGTAAGACTGTAAGAGGAATTGGAAGGTTTGCTGTTAGTAATACATGTAGATCACACATGAGTGCATTTTATGTTAGTACACATAAGAAATGCCAGATTTTTATACATATGCCCAAATCACAAATTGGGAGATAACTGAGACTAAGAACTTTTCCAAACTGTGTCCTGGCAGGAAAATTTTGCACCCGCACAAATTGCCAAATCAAAACTTCAATCAAATCAAAACAGCAATTAAAAAAAGGTGTTTTTCTCATTCATTCATATAAATTATACTCTTTCTTTTACAGTTGAAATGCAGTTCTGTGCCGGCTCAAATGTTTAACTGTATAGGATTTCTGGGCATTGAAGTCCATTGCGTTAACTGAACTGTTTACATCACTATGTTGAGATATCTAACATGTAATTACATTTAGCAGTTTAGGGAAGGAAATGCTAAAATGCAAACTGCACTAACTTAGTCCTTCAAGGTATTAGAAATGGGACCTTAATCAAAATCCTCTCCAGGAGATATAAAAGTGTGAATGTGACTGTGCTGGTTTGTGTATCTGCATTAACAGTGCAGATGACTTGTTTACTTGTCACTTTACTTGACTTGCTTTTGACTGTATCTGTGAATGTTACGATGAACTTGTATAAAATGACATGTGATTCATGCACGCAATGCACAGCCTCATGCATGGCAATACATGTTGATTCTATATGTTGGTTTTGTTTTAGTGGCCCCACAGATGAGATCCAGAACATTAGCAAAGTGAGCTGGGGCAAAGTAATACGATCTGGGGACACTATAACAAAAGAAGGTGTTTATCTTAATATAATGTTATGGCAGCTGGGTCAAGTAAATGAATGAAGATGTAATTTAATGAGATGACATTTGTGACGTGAATGTTTTTCTTACCTACCTACTATGGTTCTTTCATTTCATTGTTTACACACAGTATGCCAAATTACAACCAATGGTATTTCAAGACTTTTTCAGTACCACTCATATTTTTTAACCACACTGTTAAGAGCCTCCATGCATTACACAGCATTGATTCAGAAACAGAAAACATCATTAAAAAAAAAAAAACAATCAGAAATTCATTTTTATCTGCCTGAAAAGATCTGGAGCAAAGGTAATCTTTGATTTTTCTCTTCTCGTCATGGTCTGGCCCAATTGGTACAAATACAGGAAGGGAAAAGGGAAGTTAACATAGTAAAGGAGGGGTCCGTGCGCCCGTAGCATGGGTAACTCATCAGTAAAGGAGTCTGTGTTAGCATCAGGTTAAAAGGTAACTGGTCCATGTAAGAATCAGCAAGAAGGAAACGGGATTTTAAGCAGAATGTTTTCTCCAGTTTTAATCAAGGGATTGAAAGGATTCAGTTAGAGGGATAGAATTACATATCGCTTATATCTATAATCATATGTTTATGTTGTATATTTGACTTGTAATAATGTGTGTAATCTAAAAAAAAAGGCTGCTTGCGGTCAGAAAGTTAGTGAGGTAATTGTTGGTGTGTGTTTTTTTTCATAAATGGATTGTAGTTGTACGTTTAATTCAACTAAGGTGTATTCATGCTTGGCGAGCTCTCCGGTCATGCATGGTTTTGTTTCAGTAATGACTGAAGGTGAGAGGCATGCATGGGTAAGAGGAGGAGGAAAAAGAGAAATACTGTACCAATTGGCATGGGGCATCCAGCCCGTCCAGACCTGGCTGCCCTGGTTCCCCCTTTTCACCCTTAAATCCCCGGAAACCCTGTTTGCAAAGATGACCTAGGAGTGTTACTGGGAGAGAGGTGGACGACCCTTAACCCCTGCATCTGTCCACTGTGGCAGACACAAGGGGCGGGGACGTGAGGGGAGCTGCCCTGTGAGCTTGCCGATACCACAATCCAGCCCAATTATATGTTTTCCAGTTTCTAATGGCATGTTTCTGTGTCTGAATTGCAAAGTTTCAGGAAAGTAATAGACTCTGTGTTTCAGTTGCTGCGGTCTGGTGGAAGCTAGGTATCTGTTTCGCCACAGGGCGCTCATCCTCTTTTGGGACGACTGCTCTACACGGCTGGGAGAGGATTTCCATCTCACAGTTGGGACATACCAATGGGCAGGGTGCATCTAATCCAGGGGCACCCTGTTCTCCTTTCTCGCCCTTAGGCCCTTTTTTGCCCTTCTTTCCCTTCTCCCCCTGTGGATACAATGGTTTGGTCAAGTTAAAATCATTTTTTGAACATTTGGGACAGCACTGCTATTAGGAGGGGAGAGATTAAAAAAGGGAGAATATGGTCCACAAAGGAGAAGGACACATCGTCAGTGTTAGATGGGAGGGGATACCAGACAGTACTGGGTATTCTAAAAACATTCCTCAGGACAGGAAGAGGACAAAAAAGGGGAATGATACAGTGGGAAGGAGTGGAAAACAGCTGATCGCCAAAAGGGGTGTCAAGGGCACAAAGGATGAGAAAGAGTAGCAGGGAAAAAACCTCCAGAAAGACAAAATTAAATTTACTACACACTGTTCACAAGTTCAAACTGTATCCCTTCAGAATAAAAGACGGGTTACAAAATGTTAGTGGATATAAATGAAAACTGAAATTAAATTATGTGAGAAGAATATTTTAGTAATAGCACAGGAGCATTTTCAGCCATGATAAGATGAAATGGGTAATGTTCGGTATATAATTGTACTTGTAATGGTATGAATGTGCAGCAAAGTGTAACTATATTATATCTATATATATCTATATATATATATAATTATATATATATATATATATATATATATATGTGCATGCAAGTGTTGTAAAAAAACATATATTAGGACTCATAACTCTATTAAAAGTGCTCTAGTAGTACCTGTTTATTGTGTTAATTCAAAAGTAGCATCATAATCTGTCACATTCAGTGTTGCCAGTTATTGCTAAATACCTGAGAGAAGCAGTGATAGGATCTGTTCTGTGCTTTGAAATGATTGGTAAATACAAAGATTCACAGAGCCACGCCAAAGTATGTTTATCTGTGTGTTCCAAGGAATGGGATACAGTTTCTCCAAGACATAAAAACATCTAAGAAAGCACGTCAAAAGTGTTAGTAAATGTCAGACATACAGATTACGCATTGGAAGATAGAATCTACTGTTTACACAAGCACGGGAAGAGTTATCAACAGGCTCAAGAATTCAAGGAAGTGAAATGTTTCAGTTTATGTTCATGCATGGGAACAACAGAAGAAAATCAAATGTGAATTTTAAGAGCCTGTTGTCAATGGACTTGTTTGATCTAACATGTTGAAGTCACTTTTGGATGCCTAAAGAATGACATTGGACTTGTGATTTTGAGAAATGAGATGGTAAATCATTCAAAGGTGGAGAACAAAAGCTGATTTGAGAGGGCTGGAGATGATATTATATGCAAAGGCAGCTTTACATTGTATAGAGCTCCAATTGGTTTGAGAGTGAGAATATCGAGAAGTCGCCGCTGCTACAAAACAAACTTAAAATGAAGCCAACTTGAACCGTGTTCAAAATATCTGCAAAAATAAAGGGATTCATTAGGATGCAGAAAAATAGATCTCAAATAATTTAAGTGTTTATTCCTTCCAGCTACAATGTCACCACGTGTCACAAACTACTTCAGTATAGAAACTACATAAACACCTCCACAATTCCTGTCACTGTCCATTGACATCAGTCCTCTGTAATGTTAAGGGTTTTAATCGACAAATCACTACAGCATATCTACATCTACCTTTTCTCCTCTTTCCCCAACGTCGCCTTTCTCTCCCCTTAAGCCTGGCAACCCCTGCAAAGGTACAACTCCACTTAATTACTCTGGCTTTACTGAGCAAAGACAGAAGAGGGGTTTCCTGTCCTTACAGAGCTGAAGAAAACACAACAGGATCAAACTAAAGAAAAAACATCCGAAGCTTAGAGAAGGAAGGTGAAAAGCAAAATAAACTGAGCTCAAGAGAGAGTACATGGATGTGCAACTAGAAATAATTGCTATTGTTAATGCAATTGGCTTATAGATAGAAGAATCCCACTCAAAGGCAAAAGCAGCAATTCACCAGAATCAATTGCAATAACCTATGTACAAAAGCCCCCCCTCCCCCAAGCATTCCTGTACTGGAAAAAGCCATTTGATTCACTGTAACATCATTGATCCTGGTGGCATTTTTTTTGTCTCTCTGCCCTGAGCAAATAAAGTTATACACACTTACATCCAAGCCTGGTGTTCCGGCAGCTCCCTGAAAATAAACAACATATGCCATATAGTCACACAGCAAGAACTACTAGAGACAATATTTAAACTGTAGCAAAGATGGTAGAGGTGTTCCTGAGGGTGGTGTGGAAGTCAGTTTACTTAAGTGTGCCACTGCGATATGTGGGGAATGTGCCAGCTAGCGATGTGTGATTTATACTGATGCCCACTTTAAGCAAAATCCAGAGGAAATGCCTCTGAACATTAAGTGTGACTGAATCATTTAATATATGAGACCCTTTATTAGTCAGTAACTTCAAAATGCAGCACGCTACATGTGTGGCTGTTGCTTTTGTTCAACAATTTTTAGGTCAACTGGTATGAGCTTGTGGCTCAATGTTAATCACTTGGTCTCCTCTTGATCCAATAGTGTTGGTTTTTAAAGTCTATTTTCATGAATCAAAGGTGCTGCTGACTTATTTGCATGATATGATAATATCCTCATCAAACTTACAGGTAGTCCATAAGGTCCCCTTGGTCCTGGCTCGCCTGGTGCTCCTCTCTCACCCTAATACAAATTAATCAGTGTTACAATAATATAAATCATACGCCATCACTTTGAAATGAACTAGTGCTATAAACCCCTAAAATGAAAGTTTAAATATATTGTATCCTCAGTGAAAAACAAGTCAAAAATAGAAATCCATCTTACTATGTCACCCTTTGGCCCAGCAGGACCAGCTGGACCTGAAGGCCCGTCCATGCCCTGCAGAGAGTGGTGTTGTCATGGTGAGTTTACATCATTGGAATATAGCTGGCCTTTCAAAATAAAGTTGATTTTCCAAACAAACAGCAGATGGAAAGCAAGAATCATGTTTAGCATCCACATATGTACAATATTCCCACGTGGTTTGACCTACAACCAGCACACAGAGCTACGGCTGATACACGTGCATTGGCCACAAAGAACATTTACAACACTGCTGACACAGTTAATGTATGAGTGTGTGTTAATGCTGAGTTAATGCAACACGGGACAAACGAGAGCCTTGAAATGCCTGCTGTAACAGCTTTGTGTATGGCCCCATTCCTGTGAAGTAAACTCAGTGTGGCTTGTTTGCTAAGATCTAAAAAATCCAACAGAAGCTTATGTAACTTTCTTTCCAGTCACAATGAAACACAATAAAAAGGAGGTGACGTGGGTAAAAAGTCTGAGGGAAAAAGGGGGACTGTATGGAGGGTGAGAGGGAGAGAAGTAGAGAGAAGTTGGGTGGTGAAGCCTCTTGGTCACATGACACTCACCCTAATTCCGGGCTTGCCGTCCAAGCCGGAGGCTCCCTGTGTGGTTATGGAGGTATGAGTGACATGAACAAGGCGGGATTAGTACCAGATGAACACTGTTATTAGGACAGGTTGATGGCAGGGTTTACAACAACTAAATTACACTGTGTGTGTGTGTGTGTGTGTGTGTTACGGGAAGCTAGTCAGCCCAGGAAAATGGACATGAGGACAGAAAATGGAGAAGACACACACACATACACACACATACACACACATACACACACACACACGCAAACACACAATCAACTGTGTGCACTAACGCACAACCAAAAATCTGTCAGAGCTAAAATAGAAATAAGGGTTTTATATGGATGTCTGATGAAATAAAGGCTCTGTGGCTGTAGATATCCTGTGGTGCATGGCTGTACTTACAGGGAGACCCAGAGGTCCACGATCCCCTTTGTGTCCCGGTTCCCCTCGCATACCCTTCACACCATGCAATCCAGGTTCACCCTAGGAGAGTGAGGGGGCGAGGGAAGCAGGGACAGGTGACACAGTTGTTGTACCTGCAGTTGCACCTGTATGTGTACTCACTCCTCTGGTTCATCCTCTAACACCCTTCAGTCAAGACTTCCCCTGTGGGTCTTCGCTTATATGCCTACTTTACATTTACTCTCTTTAAGTCTGAGCTGCTGTAATTGTTATCTGCTGCTTCACCAGTGAAAGCCTAATATCTGCTATGTCTCCATTAGTGGCAGAAAGGAGAATTTAATAGACTGGTAAGTCTTTGAAGATAAAGAAAAAGTGTTTGCCACATACAGATATCTAATCTAAATGCTTCAAATGTTTATAAAAATTGCTTTAAAGAGAAGCTTTAAGGTTCATTCTTGACTTTGGAAAAAAACCAAAAGGAGGAAGGCCATGAGATGCGGTTAAAAGCTTTGGAAACAACAAGTAAGATGACTTTGAGGTCTTCTTGTGTTGAGAATTTCTTTGTCAAACTATCTTAAAGATGCATTGAAATGTGATAACAAGTACAGTATCTTATAATGTGTATCAAGCATTTAGCAACTGCACAAGGTGTTACAATTGTTTAAAAATCACATGAGAAAACACGTAGAGCATTTCTCTGCAAAACCTGGATTTGGATAATGGTCAAAGGAACTCAGAAAAGTGCCTTTCTTGGTTTAATTACTGTCAAACTGACTCCAACCTTTTATGTAAAGTACTTGTACTTTTACTTTGACATTTACCTTTGGTCCAGGGAAACCATGGGGTCCCTGAAAAACATCAAAAGGCAGAAAAATATTAGATTGCAAAGCACCTGGTCGGTCTTTTCATTGATAATCATCGTTTATTAATATTAGTAACTTTCTACTTAAAAAAAAAAAAAAAAGGCGGGACAACTAGAACAAGTGCAGCACCATGAAGTTTCCCACAGGCACAAATATACGTCCTCTGCTCCATGTTCTACGTTTTAGTTTTTTGTTCCTAGGTGACTTTGTGAAAACAAACACAAAGTCAAACTGGTATACTGGGCCACAACTATTCAGATGAAAGACGTATACAGTACCTGACTGTTAGGAGCTATCTGAGGTCAGTAAGTGAAGGAAAGATTTATAATTGACTTACTGTAACATGAATCATAGTGATCTATATGTGTGTGTGTGTGTGTGTGTGTGTGTGAGTGTGTAAGTGTGATGTAACGCCAGCACAGTGACGCCTGCTTTCATTCTTGAAACAAAAAGACAACACCAAACTATAAACAGGTTGGGCTTGTTCACGACTGGGAGTAAACATGGATTGAGTGACACATTACACAGCATTATACTGACGGTACAGGAAGTTGCTCAGAGGGCTCCACCTACTAATATGGTCATGAATCCCTGTTTGTAGTTTTAGGTTTATATTATTTGATTAATTGAGTACTGTGATGTGCCGAAGGTTATTACAATATATTGTCCACTGATGATAATTGTTTTAAAAACTCACCATGGGTCCTGGTGGTCCATGGGGCCCTGAAGGCCCTGGAGGGCCGATAATCTGCAATATATACATTTTAGTACCAAATTATGGTTCAACTAGTGTATAATATTTATATGTATTATATACTGTATATATTAGGAGGATGTAGGATTTCACTCTACAAGTTTGCAATGAACAGCATCTCTAATCTATAACAAGTAACTGAATATATTTATGGAAAGCTGAGTCTTTAATGTGACTTACTGAAGGACCCTGAGGACCAGGTAGACCTAGATCTCCTTTTTCTCCTTTTACCCCATTGACACCCTGAGGAACAAAAGCTTCATGATACATGTGTAGTTTCTATCTATTAAGATAGACAAACATTTCATGTGACTATAAACATTTCAGACATCTCAAAGGCCGTTGTCTTGGAAAATATTTGGAGAGAAGATTTGTAATTCTTACGGGTAGGCCAGGTAAACCAGTTGCTCCTTTCTCCCCTGAAGCTCCAGGCATTCCCATGTCTCCTTTTGAACCTTTGTAGCCCTGAGAGAAGAAAGCAAACGTGTACACACAGACAATTAAAAAGGAACTATTTTAATTATTTACCCTGAGGATATTTAAGCAAATGCATGTTGTATTATGGTAATAAACACTAAGATTAAAAATATCTTAAATGTCCTTTAAGTGTAATTTTGACTCAAATCCATAGTCTTAAAAACCAATTCAAAATCATCTCATCTATACATGAGAATATAAGATCAACTCACTCTTTCTCCATCGAGTCCAGGGAGACCAGGCATACCACGATCCCCCTGTGACATATGACAACATTTTTACAAACACAATATGAAATGCAAAAGCTGACTTAGTAACTGCTACGTTATGACTTTGTTAACAAAAGAAAAGTCGATGTGATATTCACAGACAAGGGAAACAAACATAATTTTGATTCAGGGGAAGCAGAATTATCATCATGACAAAAAGTGCAGCAAACATTGTTTACCTTTATACCGTTTGGTCCTATTGGCCCGGGAGGCCCAGGAGGACCCTGCACAGAAAGAAATGCAAAAGGAGATTTTATCACAGTTTATATATTTTATCACATCTGAATTATACTTCTGCATGGGTCTGCATGATCAGGTCAGTATCAAACTCTGGTGTGAATGACACTACAACTGTATTCAGACATGGAAAAAATAAGATGCATTTCATTAACAACATAAGTGACCATCACACTGAAATAATTTGCAAATAGCACAAAAATATGTTAGCAATCAGTTATGAACTTTGACCAGGATGCTCAGCTGAAAGACACATGCTGAAACATGTTAGCTGGAATACATGGATATATAATTATTATCACTGACAAAATGACATATTTTGATGTTAGGATGCAAGGGTGATCATGTAACAAAACATCAGTTCTATGACAGTCGAAGTAAGATTTGTTTTTTGGGGGGGGGGGGGGTTATGCGAGTTAACCATGTAAACTCATGTAAGATTCAGTGATTTGGTACTAAATGCTACTCTGCAAATGTAGCTATACAAATTCAGTTTCAGAGAACAAAGATGTTTCTCAAAAAAATTTCATTCCAGTTGTAGTAACGCTAAACATTCTAATCTTTTTTAGCATGTTAGCCAAAGCAATATACAACATTGTTTTTATCACTGTAGTACCACCTTCACAGAGTAAGGAACAAATAAAGAGGGATTTCCCAAACTCAGTCGACTTTAAATGATTTCTATTATTTTAAATGTTTTTTACTAAGCTACACTTGGCTTACGTAGCTTAAACACGATAATAGTGCTAGAATGTGTGACACTAACCATGGTCCACTAAAAGAGGTTAATTTCCTACTATACTAACCAGAGGAAAGCAGAGACAATAGCTACACTTAGCTTATGTAGCTAAAAGACTTATAACTAAACACTGGAATGACGCTAGAATCTCTGAACATACTAATTTCCTACCATGCTAACCAATACAATAACGTTACTTTTATCACTTTGGTATACAAACTTTAGTGTCACCTTCACAGAGTAGAAAGCAAAGTTTCAACAGTTTCCCCTAGCTTATGTCTGTGCAGCTTTTTTCATTGAAAATAAATGATATACATAGAACTTAGCTTAGCTTACAACTTAGCTGATGTCAGGGAAATAGGTGAAATTCTTAAAATGAGACACTGAATTTTCATTATATTCATGATGGGGGTGAATGAGCTGCTGGGGTCAAATAATTTCCAATTGTTTCCCCTCTCTTTGCAATGCATACAGTTTTTCTTTGCTGGAATAATACATACATTTAGGAATATGCAACAAGTACTATAAGGGCAATACTATAACAATAAATGTCTTATGTCTAAGATTTTGACATGGGGGCAGAACATCAAGTTTCGCTAATAAAGAATGAATTAAATTAGAAATTAGAATTAAAATAAAACAAAAGAGTCATGACTGCAACGTACTTATTTTGTACTATGATTCTGACCATAAGTGGATGGAGTGAATTTTGAACAGACATTCAAGGAGACAACCAGCAACACAGGAAGCATGAACGGCTGATCACAAAGAAGCATAAACGCAGCGCTGAATACAGTTTCATTCACTGTCAAGCAAACATGTTGCTGGGTGAGGGAGCACAAGCGCAACAGGGCAGTGCAAACCGGTGCCTAGGATTGGGTCGGGCCCATGCGAGGTCAAAGATGAATCACTTGTGGAGATGACACAATACACAGAATACTCAGAGCCTATTTACCGTTACTGTAATAGTGGTAATCTTCTGCAGTGGGCCAAAGGAGTGGAAATGGGGAGGAGATGAGAGATAAGATTTCAGAGGTCACACAGGAAAGAAACCTTTGTGTCAGCACATTTTAATAAACCTTCATGAACTAACAGCTGTTACCTTACTTTATCTGACAGAACCTGAATCATGTTGAATGAATGGCATTGTACTTTCATATAAGGAATAGATTTAGCATGCAGCCTTATCTTTTACACATCACAAAAGTAAGCATCTATTTGGCATTTTGGAGTATGTTTGGAGTATTTAAGATATTCTAAACCATGTGGGTACGGTTCAGAAAGATCTTAGTCATTATCTTAGTCATTATTACAAAACAGAAATATCAACAAGAGCTACATCAATGATGAAAAGCAAATACTTAAATGCCCATCCACCATCCACACTAGATATCCACACCTCTAGTTGCAAACAAATGAATATAGCAGTCCTTCCTGCATTGTAAACACAAGCAGAGCTGCAGTGTGACGTACATCTCTGAAGCAATAGAAATGTGAGAAATGAGCTGCATTAAGTAATGACTTGTCTGACCTGTAGAGCCTCCTGAATGTTTCCATTGTAGTCGATGATTTCAGTGGCTCCTTGGTCTCCTTTCTGCCCAGGGGGGCCCTGCACATGGTTAACATCAAGAAACACATCTGAAACACTTTTGCATGTCGTTCCATAACTGCACATTTCATTCATACAGTACATAACATCTGAGAAATGTCAGACCAAGATTAGGATTGAATGCTGCCCCCTGGTGGTACTCTGTGTGTGTTTATAGGAGTAGTAACTGGCTTTCTGCCAGCAGAGTAACAGCTCATGGGAAATACATTTTTTTGTTGTTGAATATGAATCAGAATGCAACATCATAATAGCATTAAAGAGAGGGAAGAATAGAGGCATTTATCTTATTTAATATAGATGCTTACCTTTGGGCCAGCGGATCCCAACTCTCCTTTATCTCCAGTCTCTCCCTAATGTGAATAGACAAACAAAAATTTTCAAAGCTCCCAAGAACTGCCAGAACTACTTGTGCTACATTCTCCTACAATGATGATCCCAAATAGGTACTATGATGTACAGTATAATACTGTCTTTTCATCAGCAACATTAAGTATTATTCAGATAAAGACAGAAGTGCAGAAGAAATATAACTTTATTTTATTCAGATTTTGATATTGGACAGACCTGATACAATATTTAACTACAATAATCCTACTGCTACTATGGCAAAAAACTGAACGACCCCACCTGCACTGAATCCTACTTGCAGCTAAAATGATTTGCATCTGTTAACTACTTGTATTTAGCATTTTATCTTTTAAATAACAAAATAACAACTACAAGTAAATGCATTCAAGACTAAACAAACCAGTGATCATCTAACAGTGGAAATTCTATATCTGGAGCACCTGCAAAATCTCATTAGCTGATTCTAACACCAAGATGCTCTTTCTACCAGATTTAAAGAAAACATATCTGCCATACTCACCTTTGACCCTTTAGGACCAGGTGTACCAGCCTCTCCTTGCGAACCCTGCCGTGAATAGGAAAACCTAATTAACTAAGAGTCATGGTTTAGGGAACATTATTACAAAAAAAAGAAAAAAGAAAAGCTATGTACTTAGAATATAAACAGAAAACTGAAAGTACAAAAGAAGCTCTCTTTATAGGTTCAAGCCAAATTCATCATAAAAAATTCAATGCAATTCATATTTCACAAAGGAAATATCATCAGCCTCTCTTATTCCTCCCGAGAGAGCGACACAGTCAGCTTCACTAAAATAACCAGCTTTTAATATGCCATTACTGCCAGGCAATAGAGGAGGTGTTTATTTGAACTCTGGCATTGATAAAGTCAGGGTTTCACTTTTGGGGTTTCTAATAGCATGTGAAACAGAACTCTGTGTCGTCTAAGTTTAGACTGGAGCTTAAGCTACCTGCTGGGTCAGTGCCAGACATAAACAATGGTAAACTCATTTATTTTTGGTTTACTTTTACACAGACTCCAGGGAAAGCCTTGACTTTATTACAGGCTATAATTGTTTAGCCAGCTGTTTTTGTTAACATAACTGAATATTGGATGAATTGAATTGCTTTGGGAATGCATTTTACTCTCGCTCATGAGTCTGAGAACTTTCTTATGTGTGCTTTGACCAAGGAGGCTCTAGATGGCAGCAAAAAATCAGTCAACCACATGGGTGAAAGGACTGCTACACAGGCACACATATGGGAACGCATGCACATATGCGCAAGAATCACTGACCTTTGGTCCAACGGGTCCAAGTTCTCCGCGTTCACCCTTTCCTGGTGGCCCGTGGTCGCCTCTCTCACCCTGAGCAGACAAAAGGATAAACTGCTTAGCAACTGAAGTGTGTATAACCACAGTTCTCCTGCAACCTGGATTTTTTCTCAGAGTTCTAGAGAACTGCTGATCGAGGCTCAGTTTCTTTTTATTGTCAGCAGAGGAGCTATGATGCATGTTCTGAACATCAGGCATGATCCAATTTCCTTAATGTTATGCAGTATTGACATGACTAAGGAATCTACCACAAGAACATCCCGCCCTTCTCATGGGTTTGCTTACTCAACACATTTGCATTGTATATTGTGGCTATTTATGCTGACTCAGCACAATCTGCGCTGCTGGTAGATTGTGACGTTTGATAAGGTTAACTGTATTCTTTTTTTAAGAGAAACCCCAAACAAACATCTGCATCAAACTTTCTTTGTCCTCTAAGTTGTATCTTTTAGGGAAAAATGCAAATCCTTTGTTGTACAGTTGTTTGCTATTGCTCTTCATGTGGAGTGACTGGAGAGAGCCAATAGATGGGGATGTGGTATAACTCACACACGCTATTACTTCATTGTTGATACTTAAAACCGAGTGAGACACAATCATTATTCAGCAGTGTTGAGTCAATAAACCTTTGTCTTTTTCTTTCCAAACAGCTGCTCAGTAATGATAACTTAGAGACTGAGCATTGAAAATAAACAGTTTGAAACATTTTTAATAAAAAAAAACACATTAGGTAAAACCCCGCTCGTCTCAAACATGTCAGGAGAACCTAACAAAAGGAAGACGAATATATCTTGATTATCAATGCACGACAAACAGCCTGATGCAAAGGAACAATGCAAACAGTAATTCTTGTGTGTCTGGATTATCACCACTGGCTCCACAGTGGGATAATGTCACGACTCAAAGGGAGCGGCAAAGGATTAGCTCATTCTGACCACTTCCAAGTGACATTTAGAAGAAACAGAGGCTTAATCACCTTGGTAAAGCGATAATAATGGATAATAAGACCATAAACTCTGAGGAATTAGTGACTTCAGTGATGATCACACTGATGGGATGTGTCGAAGCTGTTGCATCTCATTGTCAGACTTGAATTCCCCCCGGTCACAATGAGCAGAAAATACTTCTTCTGTTGCAAAAAATACGATCTCTGCAGTTACTGTGGAAATCTGAAATCACCCACCTTAGTTCCTGGGAGTCCGGGAAGTCCTGGCTCTCCCTGGGGACCGAGGAATCCAGGCTCACCCTGAAAAAAAAAAAGAAAAAAAAGAAGCAAATATTACTCATTTTTGCAGAGGGTATTTTTGGTGTAGCGACAGCTCCACTCGCTGCTGTTGAGCACTACACACATACACAAGATGCATGGGCAAACATATTTGATACGACAGGCATGCATTTACTGCTCACACGCTTGCTGGTGCACACAAACACACACGCATATACACACACACACACACAAATGCATAAATCACACACATAGACACAAATGATCAGTGGCTTGTTAATTTATCCCCTGGTTTTACAAACATTAATGACTCCCTTTAATGACACACAGGTGTTCTGCTTGAGTGTGAGCAAAAACCAGGTTCTCTGCCACCTTTGAAGAAGCTTTCACATTTTTGCATTTGCGCTTTCACGTTCGAGGAGTGAACTTCCTGTGTGAGGGTGTGATGCACGATTTGTTTTGATTTAAGTGTCATTTGATTGCGAAATAACTTATTTGGAATACATGAATAAACCATCTGCAACCAGAGTTCCCACCTACAGTAGTTCAGACGCTCTGGAAGCCTTTGGATTGGTAATGAACACTTACTTCACAAACTTTGAAATTTTGATTGGATAAACAGTGAAGAATGTGAAGCAGAACAAAGTGCAAGCCAAGCTCAGAACCCGTGAGTGCTGCGTTAGCAAAATATTGTTAGAATCCATCAAGCATTCAGGCCTTTTAAGTAAAAACAGGAGTATATAAAATATAAAATGAAAGGGCTTTTTACAAGGCCAGCACATTACAAGCATACAAAAAGAGAAAAACCAACATCAAAAACAGCAACAAGCATCATCTCATCATGCTTGTTTCAGCATTCCTTGCATTCACATGTTATATTTCAAGCTAATGATCCTGAAATACACTGAGGTGGTTGCTATTCTGGCAGTGAATTATTATGTGCCGTTTGTGCCTTTAGTTTCACCATCTGCTGTTGTTCTTTTATGAAACAGTTAAAAAAAAAAAAAAAAAAAAGCAAGCTCCTTAGTGAAAACAATAAAAGCCTAGTTTGAAAAATAAATAAATAAATAATCAAATAAAAAACAAATTTCCTCTCCTTAACACGCAGTAGTTTTGACACATTTTGCAGCGAGCCTCTTGATGCCACTTCCTGGAAGTAGACTGAAGTGTTTTCCAGGGTTGCAGTGGTGTGATCATTAATTCATAGACCTCTATGGGATTCACAAACCTTAATGAGACAGATTTCTTGCTGACTTGTGGCACGTTCAGATCCAAAGCATTGACTGGTTGGCCTCGTCAGTTTGCCTAAGCTCCTTACTTTTCGCTGCACTGAATGTACAGGTATTACTGTAGCTCTGTCACCGCAGCAGATGTAACCTCGCTGTCACGGTACAAATCCCAAACAGCAGGAAAAGCAAGATTATGAAACCTTGATGTGTCATACATAACGCATGACGATAGGTCAGCTGAGTTTCGCTCTGAACTATGCTGCAGACGGACTGAAGCGGATGGACAGGGACAACACTGGGGGAATGACTGGGGGTAAAAACAGCGAAGCATTTACCTTTATCCCCGGGAGTCCAGGCAGCCCTGGAAGTCCTGGCTCTCCCTACATAGGAAGAGTGTGACATGTTACAGCCAAGCCAAGCTAAGCTGAGTCAAGCCTCATCTGTAGGCTCTTTGGGGTTCTATTAACTTTACACTTCACAGTTTTTCTGGCTATCTGCTGCTGTAATTGCGAAAAGTGGTCTGCTGTCCATGAGTGTATGTTGACTGTCATTTGCTTGCGGTAAGCACTAGTAGAAGGTACTGCACATGCACTTTCATACCAACTCATGCAACCATGGCTTGACAGCGAGATTAGTGCTTGTTATAACACTCAACCCTCCACAAGTGCAATGGAGTTTTAGTTTTATGATTTTATTGGTTTGGGCAGGTGTGAAAAGTTCTAGTTTCTGGAAGGAAAAACTGTCAGATACTTTGGATTAAAGTTGCAAAAGCTGATTGAGAGAGCTGCCGTGGCTTCAAGGTCGTTAGAGTTTGGCAGTGCGAGAAGTTGAGAGTTGGCCTATTTCTCTGTTACCAAGGTCGGAACTCCAGACTCCCATTATACATACAAGTTTGAGTAACGCACAGTCACTTAATCCAACTGTGGAAAAAGCAGAGGTCAAGTCCCTTGTGAGGCCTCTGCGAGACTTTCAAAACAAAATTTCTGACTCAGGATAATTTAACGCTCTATTAAGACCATTGTATTTATGGCATATGAAAAGAAATGATTAGCGCCGCATGAGAATGATCAACTGTAACGGCACTCTGGGGATCAGAGAGAGGGCTGTAAATTTCCATTGTGGCTAATGAAAGCATTGTAAAACTAATGAATAAAAGTCTTTCTTGTGGACTACTACATCACCAACACTTGCTGAATGCCATCCAAATGGTAATATCTAATAGGAACAACAACTCAATCTCGTGATGGCCGATATGATGAGAAATATGATTTGTAAGTGTGTCAGCAGAAGCAGAAGGTCTGTAAAACGAGAGATAAGATAAAGCAGTCAAAAATTAGTTGGGCCACAAGTGTTTTCTTTGCAGCACAGCATAAAAAAAGACATTTGCTAAAAGCCCTTCTGTCAGTCTGGAACCAGTTTGTCCAAACAGAGAAAAGAGAGGGGAAAATTAATGGGGTGCAGCACTTGGGATTAAAAAGTGTAATTAAATGCGGCACTGGTGCAATCTTGGCAGCAGGGACAAGTAATGTACTTTATTTTCAGGAAAACAGCTCCTCTTCTGCTGCATGCTTGTTTTATTAGTATCTCATCTGCAACTGCTTCTTCAACAGTATTCCCCCGATTTCCTTTGTTGGCTTGAAATTTTGTCAAACACTAGAATAAAAGCTGGATGGGAGAAAGAGATTGAGCAAACAAACATTGCTTGAACTGGAAAAAATGTGTGTAGTCGGACGAATGCAAAGCAATGTAATGGGATGACCTGGCTAGACTGACGTCACAGTAAAATAGAGCAAAAACATCCAAAAAACATCCAAAAAGATTTAGTATATCCAGAGGTATTAGTTAAATACCTGGGACCCTACACAGGCTCAGACCAAGTATCAAGCCAAAGTAAATGTAAAATGAGTCGGAGCACTGTGATGAACGTGTCAGGTTCTGCTCCCCCATGTACAACCATCCTTATTACACTTTTAACAGCGAGGTTCAACTGAGTTTGAAATGCTCATGTCAAAACTTGAGCTATTTTATCTTGCGTAACAGACTTGAGCTTCACCTTTTTCCATTAAAACTTTTAGGTGAGTGTAGTCACAGTGAAGAAAAGTAAAGAAATGTGTTTAAGAGAGCTGTTGCCTGTTGAGCTGTTTCTCTTACTGTATAGTCGAATATTTCAACTATACTCCCTTATCAATACAGAAAAACCATTATTAAGACTAGCAAACACTACATATTCAAGTGGATATAACTATGGTTAGTCCTTATGATCACCAGTCACTGATTCATCTATTTCTATCCATCAAGCTACCATCATCTATCTGCAGTGTATCAAGAACAATGTGAGCCAAGTGCAATATTACCTTTTGTCCACTACGTCCAGGCTCTCCAGGTTCGCCCTGTAATACATAGTAAGAGTGTTTTTTTTTCAGCTACTTCATTTCTGGTAATAAGTTAGTGAGTAAAGTCCTTCCTAGCACTTCTAGTCTCCCAGTCCTGCTTAGCGCTACCAGCTAATTTCATTTGATGAATGCTAGCTTAACCTAGCTAACCGTCATTTAGGCTATAGCATTATTAGTATAGTGTTTTGTAATTTGAGGTAAAATATTTACATATTTCTTAAGATATAATTTCACAAAAGTTTACACTATTAAACAACACGAGAGATTTATCAACCACATAAATCTTACTCTTCACTATAATTAGCAAAATTAGCAAGCTAATGTTAGTTTTGGAGTCTGTTGAGTTAGCTAAGTGTTAAACTATGAAGTTATTTTGTGTAAATATGTAGTAATAGATAATCTTTATGTAAGAACTAGTTAGTTTGTGTGATGCAAATCTTTTTAATTGGCTGATTGACTAAGTTTGAACTTACAAACAGCTGGTGCAACTATCTCCTAATGCGCATCAAGAAACAATGAAAAAGCTTTAGTGTTAGCTTAGCTCTCACCTTGATGCCTGCTGCAGAGGAGCCTGCATCTCCCTAAGGAAAAGATAAAAAAACAAAAGTTAGAGAGGTACAACTTGGAAAACTGTCCAAAAATGACAAAGGGTATTATAAGACTCAATGGGGCTTTCTCTAAAATCACAACAGGAATGAATATTACTGTGCAATTATATTTACAAAAATATGAAAAAGCCTTCTTTTACAAAACAATGCAGAACATAATTTTGCAACTGCTGCATTTACTGATTTGTCTGGACAAAATTGAGTGAAAATCCAATTAGAAAGAAGATTGTCTGCTACTCTAAGCTCTGCTCAGATTAAATGTAACTTCTCACAAAAGTTTGAGCGAGCATTTTCATTACGGCAGTGCTGGGAATCATTTCGTCGTTTTCACACTGTCAAACTGTGCAGCTGCATACTGGTGATGACATGAGGAGTGAAATCTAACACTATAGAAGAAATCCACAACAGTACAGGAGGTAAGAGGCCTGATAGATATACTGTACTCACAGCAGCTATTTAAACCCTTTTTTCATTGCATCTCTTCAGGTAGGGTATTGAACTAAGAGGAGATCGAGCTACTTAAATCACATTTTTCCAGCAAAGTCATCCAGACATCCAGAACCAGGCCCTTTCTTTTGCGCTGCATTACTACTGCAGTGTACAGTAAAAACAGACATAAAACAAGAGGCCAATATGCGTAATTATGGGCGGTTGGTGGGAAAAGGGAGTGGGGAGAAGGAGACGGGGTCTGTAGATCTGGTGTGGACTGTGGTTTCACTACACATACGCCTCACGCTCAGAAGTTGCTGAAGGAATGCCTCTCGCCCTCAGCTTTTTATGGGAGTCATTACGATGCATAGCACACAAGGCATGTTTAATTGCAGCATTTTTTTTTCTGCAGACAATAAACTGTGTTACCGTTTACAGCTGGGTTTTGTTGCATACTCAACTGCATCTATCCCTAACTTAAAACTTATCGTTCTGATTTTTATATGGCCATTTTCACAAGTCCTTATATATTTTATTAAGGGTACAGCTGAGGTGAGAGGAGACGAATGAAAGGCATAAAGTAAAGATGTTTTTGGTCACATACAAAAGAAACAACATGGATGTCATGCTGTGGTTGACATAAAAATCATTACAAAAGAGGAAACTTTATACAGAGGCCCATTATTCTGGCGTTTTTGTGTCTTGATTGAATAATTGTTTCAACAAAACAAACATCAAAGTAAGAACTGGTTTACACCTGTTGTTATTTGGCAGGGATATAATTAAAAGAATGTCTCACATCTGTACTCAATTGTTACATCTTATACAAAAAAGAAAATACAAAAGATCTCACCTTGTTAAACTCGTAATCAAGCTATGGACTATATGTAAGCATAATTAACTTAGAAAAAAAAATCTCAGTAGGATGAGATCATAAGGAGCTAACAATGTGAAAAACAACCATTTACAGCATGATTTACACACTTTTAATCAAAAAGCCTACACGCCCCATGTGAAGAAAAGTATCAGAGAATGCTACACAAGCAATTAACACTTCACTCCCCTGCTGCTGAACTGATAAATACCATTGGCATTTTCTTGTCATGACAGACCTAACACAAGTGACACCAAGTTCAGCAACCAAGTGAGAGTTTTCACTGGTTTCATCTCTTCCAAATGAAGTAGTATGAGATGGAAAAAGTGGTGGAGTTGGGAGGTGAGTTGAGGTGTGGCACAGAGTGCTGAAATGTCCCAACTGGGCCAATTACCACGGTGAGGCCACAACTTGTGATTTAACCGCAGAGCAGAGCAGGATGGAGAGCTGTCGCCACAGCTCCACTTCATTTCAGGCATCCAAAACTGTCACTGCATATTGGCATTTAAAGATAATAGCATGAAGATCTTATAATGTATGCTTGGTAAATCAGGCATTTTTCCAGATGTTTGCCTGGTGAGAGCGAATGAGATGGAGAGAATTAATCAGCGAGCAGTGAAGCCGGAGCTGAGTTGTGACAAATGTAACCATTAAATGTCACCACAGCCTTCAAAACATGACTCTTACTTCATATTATGGTCATTAGCAGAGATGACCAAATTCAGCGGCCTCAGTTGAATACTGACCTCTGACACTTAGTTAGAATATATGTGAGGCGACACGGATTATGATTGGCTCCCAAGACAGAGAGAAACTGCCAACAGCTGAAACCTGGCCAGTTCACAAGAACTTGGACCGGATCTTAGGATTCAAAATTTATACCAACCGCTGTGCCACATCGGCCAGAGCCAAGCGCTCACAGCCTGGAACTTCCCAAAGCCAATTCCAGAGTTTACTTAGGTTTTTTTTTTATTTTTTTAAACCTTTAAAGAATTTTCCTATCTGTGAGTTTCGACTTTTCAATGAGAAGAGCCACAGTTAATTTCACACCTAGTTAAATACTTAGGCAGAATGCATCAGAAGTAAATGGTTTAGAACTAAAGCTTTTAACTGTGGTAATGATTTGTTTTAAAGGAGGCCAGAGATGGACATGCAGAAGCTGTTGGAAACATTTCTCTTCACAGTTGATGATGGCTTATGAAAGCAACACAGCAGGTAATCTGCCACATAATGTATACAATAAAGAGTGGTGGGAAAAAAATTACGTACATTCACTCAAATACTGTTCTTAAGTAGAATTTTAAAATACTTTATACTCTTTACTCCACTACATGTATTTGATAGCTATAGTTAATAGTGACTCAGCAGATCAAGGCTGTGCATCTGTATATAAAAACTATAGTAAAGTAAAAAGTAGCTCTAACTGCAACATTAAAATGCTGCTAACAATAATGCAATAATATAATGCTTAATGATACATACTTTTACTTTTAATCCTTACATTTTGTGAATAACGCGCGTGCACTTTTACATCCTGAATACAGGACTTTCACTTTCACACTTTTTTTTCCCACCCAACCATTAATTCACAAAGCATCCAATTAATGAACGGTGTCAGTTTTTTTTCTCATCCCAGGTACATATGATTTTTTTCTCATTCATGACTCAGAGTGTAACAGATTGCCCTCTTTAGGAGTGAAAGAAATTGATTTTTGCACGCCTGCGATTAAACATGCGTCTCTGAGTGAGCATGCATGTGACTGAGAGTGTATCTGTCCTGTCATTTTGTCTCTTTCACACTCTGCAGACCCCCTCCCCTCCGTCATAACAATCTCCCTTTGTATCATGTAAAGTCTGGCTGCTTGTGTTGCCCCCCCCCCCCCACCCCCCCACTCCCCGAGGTCTCTCTGCTCACCATAGCGAAGCTTTCACTGCCTCACCTCTCACCCCGTGTTACCACATTTTCCCCGCAGTGTGTTCTGTGTATTGTTAGCTTTGGCATCTTCAGCCTGGAAGACTGAAGATTCCCTCCCCTCTGCTGTCCCTCTATTCTCTGCTTTCTTCTTCTACATGCAAAAACAATAATATCAGGGATGAGCTATTGATCAGACACAAAACTCTGCAGTCCACATGATGACATGATGTGCAATATTCTCCTCTGACTGATCATGTGTGTGTCTTTGAGCACTTGCACTGAAAAATAAATCAGTCCTTGGTGTATCTGGCATATGTTATACTCATCTGGATATACGTCTTGATTGAAAAGCAATTATAGCTGCCATACCGAATGTTTAAAAACTTCACATCCTGACACTGACAATCTGAGAAGATGAGGTAATCCTATCTATAATAATGAAAAAATCTTCACTATTTCCTTTGCACTGCTTTGTCTCTTTTATTTATTACAAATACATGGCTGTGCTCTTGAAGAATGAATGGCAGGTGACTGGCTACAGAAGTCTGCCTTCCTATAGTACTCAATTCCACTTTTTCTGTTTCATTCCTGCGGCGAAAACCCATCATTTTTTTCTCCTTTTACAGCACTGAGGTGGACCAGATCAAAGCTGTGCTCAAGCTGCAAAGTTTTATCGCCTCCACTTTCCTTTTTGTTCACTCATTCTCCACAGATGATATCCTGCATCTGTTTCCTTCAAATGGTGTCTTTCTTGGCAGCTGTGTTCGGCAGTCTTTAAAAAAAAGACAGAGCACCCATAAAGTGAGAAGTTATCAAAGTTGTCCTCTGCTCAACAGCAATAAATTGGCAGTGACATTTTGAGTACACTGCTTCTGCTCCGCTGCTGGTCTATCAGTAATATTTGTTTTTATGCCTAACTCCCAGTAAAAAGAAGCATCTCCTGTGTATTAAACATCACGGTATTTTGTGTCTGATGTCTGCTCTCAGCAACTGTGTTATCATTTTTGGCAATTTTGGGAACATTTTTTTTTTTTTTTTTTTTTTTACCTTTTCCCAGAAATGTGAGAAGCTGAATCAACATTTTCAAAGAATCATTAATTCCGATCCATAATTGGTTTGTTTCTGAAATGCTTTGCAACAAGTCTGAAGGGTAAAGGGAGGCCCAAATTTTGCCATGAGGTCAATCAATATGAATAAGGCTGTGATCTGTTTTCATAAGTGTTGCTTCAATAATATAATAACAGCAAAGGCAGCGTGGTGAGTTCTGGATGGGATGCATAATCTGCCTCTGGACTTGATGTCAGTGAACTAACGCAAAACAAAAACCTTTCCCGACAACAAAAGCTTTCTGGACAGAAACACAAATCTATTACTTGAACAATCTGTCTAGATGAGCTTCACTCTGCCTTTTGTTGGAAATGGATCCCAACTTGACAAGCTGTCTTGATGATAAATGGTCCCAAGCTAATGCAGGAGCAATCCAACCAGAAAATGTAGCGTCAGCGTAGCATAGCAATTAAGTCCACATTAAGCACAAAGGACGCATCAAGTGCCAGGATGATTGCTGTTGTGCAACCTTGTCTGCAGCTGATGGCACTTGACCTCAGCTACTTCTGCCTCCGCTTCTCTCCACAGATCTTCTCTCACATGGCTAACATTAACTTTTTTTTTTTTTTTTTATGTTTTCCAGCCACAGAGAGACTCTCTGCTGTTTCTCTGAGCCAAGTCCAAGACATAAACAAAGAGAATGACAGGTAAAGTGGAATTTACATACCTTCTCCCCCATATCACCTTTCGGTCCGTCTTCACCCATATCACCCTGTGATGAAAACACACAGAGGTAATCTTATAAAGTCTACCGATCGCAAGACTGTAACAAAAACCGAGACGGATGAGAATCTAAAATCCACAGACAAAGACAGGATTGCCAGATTGGATTTAAATAACACACAGTAGGACTTTGACAAATCTCTTTCTGTGATTGAGTGCAGTGTAAAATAGCTTAATGGATTCTTGTAAAAAAAAAAAAAAAAAAAAAAACCTAAGCGCACTGCAGCAAAGACGAAGTGCCATTAATGTACATGTTAAATTCACTTTGGTCACAAACTGAGTCATTACACATGGTTCAAATATGACTGATTTCAGGTGATGTAATACACTCTGTGGGGCATAATGGAGGTCATAAACTCCTGGCATCAACTGTGAAAAACTTCACTTCTAAATTCTAATAAACTTTTCCGTCTTTGCAGTATGAAACAGATTGACTGAGTTTAGTCACGCGAGCAGCATGGCTCCGTGGACGGCAATGTTGGTCGGCAGGTCAGCCTTCGTCTTGATTCCAGACCAGTAACTCTATATAAAGATGTATCTCTATATACAGTTATTGGTCCAGACTGAAATGTCTCCACATGTGGATGGATGGATGGATGGATTTGCCTTTAAATTTTGTACAGACGTTCATGGTTCCTGGACAATTGATCCCGTTCACTCAGTGATGTACTGACTTTTCTTCTAGTGCCACCATGAGCTTGAAATTTATGGTTTGAAGATTGAAATGTCTCAACAAGTGTTTGACAGATTGCCATTAAGTAATAAATAAGTAATGGCATTCGCATCAGCTCAACTTTGTGTTTAGTGCTACTTAGCAAATGTTCGTATGCTAAAACACAGAGCCTCCCGAGTGGCTGCAGTCTCTTCGAGTCTTGTTGATATAATACTTATCCTTGCACTTCTATAATTCCATGTTCCTAATTGGAAGGTGACTTGCAAATCCAAGGATTTCAAATAAAGGGTTGTGTAAGAGGCTCTGTGCTTCTCAAACAAACAGTTTTTTATCTGTTAGGCTAGCATTGTTTTCTTGAACGTGCCTGCTGGCTCTTTAATTCACAACCGATGCCAGAAACAGCAGTTTATGTTAACATATCTGGCTCCTCTCGAATTAAAAGCTCATAGCCCTTTGGAGTGAGTTTCAGTGCTGTCTTTGGCAGGAACGGAATAATTTTAACTTTGATAAACCCACATGATTTTATGTTGAGTAAATCTAAATAGTTTGGTCATATAATGAACAGCAATTCCAATTTGAAATCAAAGTTTCTGTCCTTGCGGAGACCATTAAAAAAAAAAGAAAGTCAAGAAAATGAGATGACTGTAACAGCTTCTATGACATCAAGCATGTGTCAGGAGATGAATTGCTGTTTACTTTACCATCTATGATTCTATATGTTAGTAGTTAAAACGACTACTAGCGTAGAGTCAGGATTAATTGCTCTCCTGAATTTGCCTGCTGGCTCTTTAGTCAGCAAACAAAGCCAAAAACTGCAGCTCATGTTAACACAACTGTTCCGCCTCCGTGCCTCACAATAAATTCTCATAGTGCTTTAGAGCAGTGATTCCCAATGTGGGGGTGACGACCTTCTGAGGGGTCACAGGATAAATCTAGTAGGTTTCAAGATAATTACCTCTTCTCTAATCTTTCCTTCTGCTTCTTTACTATAAAATACTAGATACTTTTTTCCCTTTTTACGCTTCTAAAAAGCGAGAAGGGTTGTGTCTGTGAGTTGCTGTGACAAGGCCAAGGGGTCATAAGTCGGCATAGCTTTGTTTAAAAGGATCTTGAGGAGGATCTCTGTTTTAGAGTGAAAACTAAATGACAAAAGCAGAGCAGCACAGTGTCAGCGACAGTCTACCTTGTCAGGTCAGTGCTTTATAAAACACTTTATTGAAGTGGCCTGATCTCGCAACATAATAATCTCCTAGATTCAGTTTCTATTACTGTATATTGAGCCATTATCTCCATGTGGCTAATTCTCCACCAGACACCTATGATGCTGTGAAAAATGGTTGCTAGGAGATTGTGACCACACAACCGCATTACAACACTGAACCAGGTATATTAATAACAGGAAATAAGTCTCTGATTTGAAGAAAAAGCAACTGAGAACGACTGCCTGAAGGCAGGTTTTTTCTGGTCAATGAAGCACAATGAGTCATCACCACCTTCCCCGGGCCGCCTCACTCTCGAATCTGTCGGTGTTCACACCTCCCATCCACTGCAGTGAATATGGGCACCAGCAAAATCAGGGAATGGAGGGAATAAGGCAGCTTTTCCTCAGTGAGGCTATTGTGCGGGTTCAGTTTTTTTGGTCTCCTGGAGTTGGAGAAATTGGGTTCATTTTTGTGACTCACTGAATCACTGACTCAATGATGGCCAAATCTCAGAAGGGAGTCCCCTTTGGAAAAACAAGCTGGAGCTGTGAGACGTAAAGGCGGAGCTGCCGTCATTTTATCACGGCGGCTGTTCTAACACATGGTGGAATATCAAGAGTGATGCTAACAATAATGTTTGGCGATCTGAATTAGTGCGTTACCTTTTCACCTCGCTCTCCCATTTCACCCTGTTGGGAAAGAAAGCAGAGCGTTAGACACAGGAAAGCTCAGGGGGAGTTGGGTTCAGTTGGGGAATTATTGCAGCCACTAAGGATCAGATTGTATCTGGGGTTAAAGTCATGTTAGATTATGGAAATTCTCTTGTGTTATGGTCGTCTTTTCCCCAGACACACCCTCAAGTATCAGCTTTTTTTTTTTAACTTTTAAGTATTTTTCAAAACTTGTAGTTACTACAATAAATTGTCAACATTAACAGACTAAAATAACAATAAAAATATTCCACCACAATTTAATTGAATAAAACCTATGTGTAGATTGACGGATTCCTGAAATGAAGGTGACCTGTTGTTATTGATCTACTGGCAAATACAGATCATGTGAACATGATATCCAACAAAAATGAATGAGAAGATATACATGTTTTCTAAATAATATGTAAAATTGTTGTGTGTAATGAAAAAAATGGTATTAAAAAAGCATGAATGGCGACAAGTGTCCAAAAGCTAAAGAGAAATCAATGTTTCTTTGATGGGAAAGGATGAAAAATGATAAATTATTTAAAAACTACAAAAATAAAAATATGATCGCTATGAATTAAAAGAGTAAGAGCACACAGAATATGTGTGCACCAGACCTTGACTCCGGGGATACCGTCGAATCCTGGGATGCCAACATCCCCCTAAAGACAGCATAACATACACACAGTGGCTGTATTGAGTGTGCTGCTTTACCATTATGACCTCTGATTTAAGGTCAGAAGATACAAGGAAAAAAAAAAAAGCTTTAAGTTTTCTCCCTGGATAGAGATAACCTTTAACCTTAACAGAGATGAGGTTTGTGTCACAAAGGTATACATTTGCAGGATAGTCAATAACTGAGCAGTAGACAGAACAGATGGAGTGGATTTTCCACTTGTTAATGTACAGCTAGGATTAAATAAATACCATAAAATTCCAAAAAAGTTCAAAAGTATAAAATATTAAAACCACAAACTGAACGTAGAGAGGATAAACAAGCTGATTAAAAGCTTAATTATCTCCGCTTTGGTTCTGAACATGAGCAAAAGAAGAAAGCCAAGTCCATCTGTTGAATGCCAGTTCGCTGTTAGTGTGAGTTGAATCCCTTGTTCTCTGCAGCTCTGACTGAGAAACCAACCTCAGTTCATCCGTTGCCAAGAACAATTAACCTGCCGACCTCTGCAAACCTACCACATCATTAGCCTTTTAGAGGAGTTGCAGCTATTCCTCATCCCAGACGCACGACTTTAATCGGATGATTCTGATTAATGTAGCCAGGATGGAAAATAAAGCAATCTATTATTTGGATTAAAATACATGTGAATGGGCTTCTCAGTATTATGAGGGTTACTGTATATATCATTAATTTTTCTTTCTCCCTTTCTTATTGTTTTCATTTTGAGTCTTTTAACAAAACTCTTTGATGCTTCATGATGTATTCTGCATGAAGCATTACGGGAATATCAGTGTGTATGATCAATGTACACCCATACTACACACTGGCGGCGCAACTCTTCATAAATGCTGGAATCTAGTCTCATCTATCAGCTCACATATGGGACTCATTGCCATAATGATGATGGAGTCTGATTAAAAACTCCTAAACCGGGGCTGATAAGGTTTGCATTAGTGATCATCCCCTTTCAGTGGATATCTTTGTCAGATCAATATGATGTCTGCCAGTCAACCTGCCACTGCTGGCAGGGCAGCCGTAACTGCCTCAGAGTTCATCTTTCTGCATGAGTGACACTTGCATACCAGAACAGATTCTGTTTTATAACTGCATTGCACAGCATTGGAGTTCTATTTCATGGGTGCTGGCAAAGCCCACTCCTTACACAAGTATGGAATTAGGCCTTCAGCTTTTGCTGTCTCCACAGTCAGTATGGCTTTCACTTCAAAATGAAACTTCTTTACTCTGGTTCCTATTACGGCCATGCGTGCCTCTCCGCTCATATCTTTATAAATGCACGCGTGAGATTTGAAAGATGGTGCCTCTCCAATCGTCTCCTCATTCGTTCTCGTCACTTGTACCATCGTTTGTTCTGGAATAAATATGCTTTTCCATTTTTCCCCCCATTGTGAAACACCTGCACTGTGTCTCCTTTATTCGGTCTGAGAATGAAATGCAGAAATGAGCCGAGAGTGTGAGCAGATTCACAGGCAGCTCCAAACGGTACTTTGTGGTTAAGAGTTGAAGATGCAGCCCAGGGGATTTCGCCTAAATAGGATAGCGGTTTGAAATAGTCAGAATGTGCTGCAGAACTTTTCTAATATGAAAAGTACAACATATGGCCAAAAAAGACTAATGAAAACTCTAAGTTAACCTTTTGAAGATAAAATACTTTCAGGTGTGGATGGAAGTTGGCTCTCTGAACTTTTTCTTTTGTGGTTTTTGTGAGGGAAGCATTATGCCATGTTCCGGTTAAATTTAGAGGAGCTGCTCAATTTAAAATGGAAAAGTTTAGCATTATGAATTTGTAGCAGTTTTAAAATATCCATCTGAACAAGACGAAAGGCGTAGACATTTGTATGACAATCATCAACTATTTTGTTGGTATGCGCTCACCTTCAGTCCGTCAACACCTGGGATGCCAGGAGGCCCGAGTGAACCCTGGGAAATAAACACAAAGGCTTTTAGGTGTCACTGCATGAAAAAAAATGACACTGTGTTTCACTGGGAAAGAAACAAAAACTGTAGAGTTATGATTATCAGAAATTCAGGTAAATATATGTGACAATGCACTTTGTCTAAACTGTCTCCCAATGGACCCAACACCCAAAGGAAACATAAAATTATTTACGAACTCTGCTCAAAAACAAAACTATAGTTCAGTCAAAGTTTGACACAACACGCAGCACACAAACGAATCTGGGATTAAACGGGCTATAGATTTTCTTCTGGCCTGTCTATTGTTCCCGGCACCACTTCTCTATGCCCGGGTGTGTGCTGATCTTACAAAACCAGGCCAGAATAAATACTGCATGCCATTTTTTTAAGATCTGCTGGGTAGGCAGAGGGCAAGAACGGGTGTTGAGAATAACTCTGTTGAGCTTTTTTTTTTCTTTCTTTCTTTTCTTTTTTTTTTTTTTTATATATTCTGCAGCTCTCATGTTTGCATGTTCTCCTTTAGCTCATAAAAACAAGATGATTAAAAGTCAGAGGTTGAACCGAACATGTTGTAATGAGCTCTCACTCCCTTGCGTAGCGGTTTGCTTGTGTTGGCTATTCGTGCTCCCTCATAATATAAGTGATTCACTATCACCATGATCACATTTACAGATGTATCAGAGATGGGTGAACCAATGATACACAGGCTTTAACCAGTGAAAAACATGGGTCTTCTCTAATATATAACTGTGAACCTAACATTGACTAACCTGGGATGAGGGAGAATAGAGAGTGGAGCGCATAAAGGTGGTAAAGTTCATAAAATATATTGTTCCAATTTAGATAAGTTCATATATTTGATTCCCTCTCCACTTTAGATCATGTAATGACACCAAATGAATCACCACGGTGATGAAACATGAATAATTGTTGACGTGGCCCCTCTGCTGAACACGGCACTCCACCAGCAGCAGATCTAATTGAGTAGCCTCGGGCCTGGCTTATGAGCCATTAACGCGGCGGTGTGTCATCGTTGACCCCTCCACACACTCTCTCACACACACACACACACACACACACACACACACACACACACACACACACACACACACACACACACACACACACACACACACACACACCCCTCCTCCTACACCGACGGGAGGCCTTGCCGACAGATGACAGCGCAGACAGGAAGTGTCTGATTGGGTTACACTGAACAAACACTGGCAGCTACCTGATGGCTGGATAAGGTTTACATCTGTTCTTCACATCAGCGCCGCCAGGGACTCGCCGCCTGTATCACAGCACTTAGCTCCGGGGTCTCTGTTCTCTGTCTCTCTCTTTCTGACTCACTCTTTTTCTTTCCCTCCTCATGTTGTCTCTTTATTCACCCTGACTGACATTTGTGCAACTTTTGCACAGTTGCTATCAAATCCCAAACATTTTTCTTAATGCTAAAGAAATTCCTCGTTGGTTTACTTTAGAATTAGGAATAAAAAAGAAAAGAAAAACTGAGAAAGCACCTCTCAGTGTGAAATGTATTTTTGATGTATTTTTTTTTTTTAGTCGATAACCTCATTTTATTTAATTGAAAAGAAAAGTAAGAAGTACCAGTGGAACAAGAAATGATTTTTTGTAACTCACCTTCAGCCCTTGTGGCCCCTCAGGCCCCTATAAATGAGAAAAGACAGACAGAGAGAGACAGAGAGAGAGAGTGGAAGAGAAATAGAACAAAAGGGTGCACGTCGGATGAAATAATATGATTTGCACAGCCAACACGGTCACAGCACAGAGACTGGCAAAGGCTCTGGTAGGATTTCATTCAGAGAGCACACACCCTTCAGGCAGAACAGAATCACAATCAATCCCTTGTTTCATTCTTCGACAAAGAATGAAAATCAACTCACTCTGTGCCTTATTTTCATTGAGCCGCACCATAAACATGAATCTCTAATGAGACCATGAATAACAAAATCTTTTATGGTTTTATCTTTTATGTTGATCTCTTTCTTTAATCATTTTAGCGTCTGTAAAATCTTGCCTCGTTTGACTGTTCTACATCCTAAGTCTACAGTCCAACACATAGAGAGGTTCATTACCTAAGTGGGCCAATAGTTGGAAAGGCTTACAAAGCTAATAAGTTAGACAGGGCAAAAAGGCGCCACATCTGTAACTGAGATTTAAGTCAGTGATAGATGTGTCTGGGAGGACAGTTTCTATTCTAAACCTGCTGATGGGACACCACAGAGAAACTGGAGGCCATCTTCAACCTCCACCACCAGAACCTTCCGAAAAACAGCAGGGGTGCTTTATGAATAAAATGAGAAATCAGGCTGAATGTGAGTTCCTTCCATGCTGGCTAAAACCAGACTCTGAACTATTACAGTACCCACAGCAGTTCATCAACACCTTTACGCTTGGCTGTTATGACACCTCATGTTGGCCAGCTTTTTTCTCACTGTCGGCTCAGGATCCACAGTAAATGGAGCCATTTGGCTCATCATGTGCAGTTGGGTCAAGGCCAGATAGACCTTATGCCACACAAGACCTCTACAACAACAGCTTTCTTAGCGTTATTCTTGTTGATGCAGTATAATTGGCAAAACTAAAGATCTGGTCTCCTGATGAGTGTGAAAGCTTTGTGTGCCTGTATTAAAAAGTAGCCAACACGGACACACTCAGGTTGAAAAGTTTGACTGTCAGTGCAAATTTTTGTGAAGAAGAAATGGAGCTTGGTGGCGGCCAAGATATGCCTTGTGGCCAAAGCACCAATGGATGCCTGGCTTAGCTAAAAGGACCATAATAATTACCAATTTTCTCAGAATAAACTGTAGGAGCTTTCCATATCTTGCCTAGTTTCTGTTGATGAAACAGGGCGATCACCAAGTGACCGGAGCTAAAAGTTTCCCATTCTCAGTTTCAATTTTCTTTTTTTTTTTTTTTTTAAAACAAAAACTAGCTTGTGAAAATGCTGCAGCAACAAGTTCTCACATTTACAGAAAAGGCCCACACAGTTGCAGCTCATTTATTGTGCATTCCATCTGCACTTTTAACAAAAACCTCAATGAACAACTTTCATTATTCCAGCCAACCAAGAAAAAGGTTTTCCTCCCGCTTGTCTTTAAAAGCCTTTGTTAGCTATCCTCAGTAGGGTTTAGTAAACATCTTTATGACCCACTAGGTATGTGAGAGCATGTGCCACTTGCCTGAGCACTAATTAGCTTGGCTACATCTGAGAGCACTCAGGGGCTACTGGCTGAAAAGGAGATTTTTCAGAGAGTCAAGAGCCCTTGAGGAAGTCTTGGTCCTGCTTCTTTTGTTCTCAGCTTTGGGCCCTGACATCGCTAGAAAATTAAAATTGAGGATAATTTCAAGATTTCAATAAAAAAAAAAAAGAAAAAAAAAAGATAATTATTATTTCAGCTAAAAGTGTTCATGACAGCGCATGCTCAGCATATCACACCTTCGCTCCCTCATTTAACATTCATAAAGGGTAAGAATCCATAAATGTGCAATGTCAACAAGGCGCCTATTGAAGACGAGCATCCGAGCGCAAATACAAAGCGCTGAATGTTTGGTGCTTTCATTCATGACTTGGAAATGACAAACACTGAGGCGACTGCCGGGTCAATTCCCACACTCAGACTGTAGTTGAACCCTCAGCCACTTGAGGAAATCCCAGAGCGTGCAACCCTTGCTCAGCATTTACAGGAAAAATATTTGGGTTGATCAAAGCACAGAAAAGCTACATGTTCGAGCTTTAGGGTACACATTAAAAGCTTCTGTTCAAACTCCTGCTTCACTTACAACATCTTTGAAAAGGGTCCTTACAATATTATGCTGTTATTTGCATTCAATTATGGTGCTTTCAGCTTTAAAAAGGAAAATTATTTTTTTGACAGCCTGGGTCTTATTGTCTTAATTTTGGCCAGTGTAGCTGCAGGTTAGCATAACACTGTGCTCGCCGCCTTTATTGCAGCACTTGTAGACATTGTGTGCTTTATTTAAACTGTGTTCATGACCTTTCATTTTATAAGACCTTTTAATCACACTAGCTTTACTGCTACTACAACTGTAAACAGCACTGCAGCTAGCCAGAATACAGCACACAGTGTAGGCCACCCATCTGACCTTAGGGTTTAGCCAAGAAGTAGCTCTGAAATGCAAAACACATTTGTACCATCACATGACTGCAATCGGTGTGTCGGTTAAGATGAGACTGTGTGTACTGTGTAAGACTTTTGGAAACTGTATTCCTTTGCTGTTCAACAAAGACAGAGGTGTGTAAAATATTATGCTTGCATGTAGGCAGGGTCAGGACTCTGAGGTCTTGGCCTTGGTTTAATTAGAGTTGTATAACTACACACATATTCCACATATATATTATATTTCTAGAGTTTTGATTACATATTGTCCTCACAATGGAGAATCTTACACCAGAGAATGGATGGAAGATTTGGTAGAAAAAATGGCGTACACTTCTGTCATATTATTAATAATTAAATAACTGAATATTTGTGGTATAACATAAAAAAAAAAACTAAATAGAAGAGAGGCTTTGCACCAGATTTAGCCACTAGCTACTTTCCATCTGCACTTCCTGGGCAATAAACATCACCTAATGCCCTCAGTAATAAAATCCTGGTTACAGCCCTGCCTATAGGTACAGTATACTACCCACAACTATGACAATAAGACCCAGGTTGTAAAAAAAAAAAAAAAAAAAAACAACTTCCCTTTAAGAAAACACAGATTTGTTCCACACAAAAATGCTTTTACCCATTGATGTCGACATTTGCCACAACATTGTTGGAGAGCACGTAGCATGTCCTAAGCCATTTACCCACATCTTTGCTCCTCATGTTTGGCTTCACATTAAAGGAAAAACTTAGTCAAGGACACCAAAATATTATAGGTATGCCCTCATTATACAGGCATATTAAGAAAATGAGATCCCTCCATGTATGCCTGTTGTGCATTTTAAAAAACATCGAAGGTGAGTCACTGGTACATTGAGGGTAGCTATGGAATGAATAGGATGTAAAAGTGGATCAGTGAACTTCTGCAGTATAATTGGAACTGCTTTTGGAACAGCATAAAGCAGCTGGAGGGGGTTTTTTCAGTTACGGATGGAAGACTCCATACAATACACCACTGGTCTTCCATATTTAGTCTTTTTGAAGCAAAATCAAGTTCCAAATGAAAACTGTGTGCAAGGCTGCGAGCCACCTTTCGAGAGCTGAAGACCCCCTTAATTTACCCCAGAGACACCTTATGGCACTGATGATTTTGAATTAAGTCCTGAAAATATTTTCTTTTTCTTCTTCTTCCCACCTCCCCCTCCCTCCTTGTTGCGCCACAAGAGTTTAATCCTTCTAACCAGCACCATATGTCCTGGAAGGCTGCTGGAAAACTCTGGAATCTACTTTTGCCTCTTAAACAATAGCATCTACATCAAAAACACTGAGCTGTGTCAAGTGGGCCCTCGCTCCTAGAGCACCGTAAAAGAAGAAGTTGAGTTAAGAAGCAACTTCACAATCCCTACCTTGGGCTCACTTGTGCAGATCTGAAAGGTGCCGATCACAGCTTGTCCTTTCAGCTTGCTGCACAAAGCGGAGCCCATTGCTCCAGCCTCTTACGCACATCTAATTCATATTGATTTTCAAAGGCCAATTCAAGGGTGTGGTGTTGTGTTTCTGGATGGAGAATTTCTTTTTATTCCTTCTCCGGAGATTTAACAGCACAAATTACCATCACAGAAACTTTTCTCTCGAACCTGTTATCTTATCTTTGCTTTTTTTTTTTTTTTCCCCCAACAAGAGGCAGCAAACAAACTGCTGCTGGCTGGAAACAGAAGCAACTCCACTGTGTTTGAGTGGCCATGTCACATCTTTTTTCTTTTTTTTTAAGTATATTTTTTGGGCTTTTTATGCCTTTATTGATAGTGCAGTAGAGAGAGACAGGAAATGGGGAGGCAGAGAGAGGGGGAATGACATGCAGCAAAGGCCGTCGGATGCGGGACTCAAACCGGGGCCGAGTGCAGCGAGGACTGTAGCCTCTACACATGGGGCGCCTGCTTAGACCACTACGCCACACGACGCCCCCAATGTCACATCTTTTTACAACCTCTGGGATATGCTCATCACATGCTGCTTTACTTTAATAATGTTGACATTATTCCTTGTTAAAAGTACATTAGTGTCATGTTGTGTATATACTCGTGAAATAGTATGCCTTCTTTCACGAATTACAGTGAGCAACTCTTTTTCTATTTTTTATTTCTATACACAACTCTTGAGCTCATTTCGAGTGGGATTCACTGTTCATCTTTTGGAGAAATACTCCAGCGATCCGCCACGAGAAGTTGTGTAAGCACTGGAGACTTATGGGAGCACACCTGCGACCATGTACTGCAAATCTGACATTAATGACGTGAATTGATAATGGGTAAAACGTATAATGAAAACCAACAAAAAAAACCCCCAAAAAACCAACATATAATTAAAACCAACAAAAAAACCAACACATAATTAAAACCAACAAAAAAAAACCCAACATGTAATTAAAACCAACAAAAACATGAAACATAAGCACGTTAAGTGACCTGAGAATGATTAACAACTTAGCTTTAAACTCCGCTTACTCTCCAGCTAATGTGTCTTTTTTTTTTACTACTCGCCATCCTTTATTTTCTCTGTCCATTTCTTTCCACTGCACCAAATTTTTCCACACCATGGAAAACGTCTGAGGAGATGGAATCAGAGATGAAAGCGTTTGATAACACCTCCTCTGTCAGCTTCACTTACCCTCCCCTGCACTTGTGAGAACTGACATCACCAAAGACCTTGCTTTCTCTGGAATTTGGCTTGACCTATTCAATGTAGCTTTTATGAGGAAACTTTAATCACATGCTTTATTTGCTGAACACCACAAGTGGTATCCAGTTGCTGTTAACTGGAACAGCTTGTCCCTACTGTATCAGGGGTTTTGTGAGAGAAAGCGTACGTTCTTGGAGGGTATCATAAAAAGTGTCATTAATATTCACCATAGTAACCATAAACCACTTTATGAATTTCTCATAATTAAAATCCACATTTAAAAAAAAAAGTGGCAGCATCCCTACATGACGGCTGTTTTGCAGAACATAATTGCATGACATGAGTTCAAGCTAGCTGTGAACCCTCTACAGCCTACTTTTCAAACAGTTTACTGATGCTAAATTGCGAACTAGAATCCAAGGTGAGCCACAGGCCGTGAAGACAATGTGATTCCAAAAGGAAAAAAAACGCTTTTTGCTTACCATGGGTCCTGTGTCTCCAGGCTGCCCTGGATCACCCTATAGGAAATTTAAAGCAGTCGGTTAACGTCAGAGCAGTGAGCTAAGTCTTCTTTGAGAAGTTGAGAACACGCATGGAATTTTAAAATGATCATAAACAGTGTTCAGAGCAAAACAAGTCCAATTGTCTGGTTCAAAACGCAGCACTTTCCACATTATGGTTGAATTCCCCATTTCTTTTAGTGTTCAGCAGTCACTAGGGTGCATAGAGGCCAGGTTGCCAAGCGGAGCTCAGTATTGTTCTGCTCATATAGCAAGTTGGCTGGAAGGCATTTATCATGCTGTGCCACCTGCACCCTTCACTGGCTCTGTCCAACAACCTTGTTCTATGTCTCTGCTTTTGGTTCAGACCTGGCTCTTGGATGTTGGATGTTCTTACAGGTTTTGCAGTAGATATGAGACATATGCCATGTCCAGATTGCTATGCCAAAATCCTGCTTGTACATTATTCCTTTTTTGCCTCTTGGTGACATTTACAAGACAATCTTTGCCACCCTCCTCCTGAGTATTTCACGGCAGAAGAAATAAATCATGAGAGAAATACAGTGCCGCAGCGAGGGAAGTTTAATTTCTTGGAAAAACAACTATTGCAACTGCAACTGGAAGAACTGAAAACAATAATCATCAAAAAGTTGGGAAGAAGCAGATAAACAACACTTAATATTTTTGCACTCCCACTGCGAACTCTGCCAAGTCAATAAAGATCAGCTGGAGCCCTCGGGAAGGTTTTATGGCTGAACATAATTGACAGGCCTTTTCTGTTTCTTCTTTCTCTCACAGGCAGAGTTCACATAAATTAGTACGATGCCAGTGACAGGCTTAAAGACATGGAAAATATTACTTTGTAATGAAAACCAACCAAGTAAACGTAAATCCATACAGTAAAGTATTTTCTTGGGGAGCGTATTCATGTTTAGTTAAAGACATCAGGGCAATGAACTGCAATGTAGCTTGTCAAGTCTTCATTAGATCGGTTTTCAGTGGGATAAACCCTTCCGGCATCGAGTCAAAGCCATCTTCAATATGAGTGCGAAAAGAGTTTAACCTGTTTGGAAACCTGTTTTTTGTTTTTAAAGGAGAAATCCGGAGAACTTGTCTGAGTCAATTCCGTTTTCACACACGACTGCAAAAGAAAACCTTCAGCTAAACAAATTTTCCACATAAGGGGGAAGATCAATACTCACTGGGAGACCAGGTACACCTCTGGGCCCATCTTTGCCTGTGTCCCCTGGAGGCCCTCTTGGCCCAGGGGGACCCGGTGGCCCTGGAGGCCCAGGTGGTCCTGCTTGCCCCTGATCTCCCTGTGTGGCAAAATAACACATTTCAACATCATTATGCTGTGATATTGTTGGATCCAATGAGACTGGAGCCACGGCAGTTAAATGATAATGAAGAAGAGAATAGTGAAATGATCTGGTGGGTGGGTATGGGCTGCCTCCATTCAAAACACGGAGGAGAGTTTCCATTTTTGATCTTATGGCTACAGTTAGCATACGACAATAAGGATGGAGCTGTAATTGTTCTGATTTATAGCTGAAAGATTAATCCATTAAAATGCATGCATTCCTAAATGGACCTCACGAGTTGAATAGGGCTTGTGCATTAGGATTTGACTGAAAAAGAAAATCACATTTGTCAGAGCAGAGCTACAATAATCAGGGCAAAAAAATATACTGAGAATGTGTGGTCCATTATTATACTGCATTATAAGAAATTCTAAGAAAATATTCAGCAATCTAACTTAGGGAAAATGCTTTAAGTAGTGCCAGGACAGTAATTCATGATACATTAATAAAACCTTGTTTTCTAAAAAGAAACTTCCATTTTTCCCTTCAACAATAACCAAAAGGACTATAATAGTGCATGTGACAAGTCTGACTGAAGGCTTGCATGCAAACTGCAGAATGGCCAGAGAGAAGTGTTTCGGTGAGACTTGGCACGGTGGACAGGGAGACGAGTGAGGACACAGCCACTACCTTAATGAGCCGCCGCTTTATGAGCTGCTGGTCAGCGGAAAGAAAGCCATGATTGATCTTAGGGAAGACCATCTGAGCAGGTGTGTGAGGTCAAGAGGTCGTAGGTCAGAGGTGAGAGAAGGTTGAAGAAGGATGAGGTCCCAGAAGAAGAAGAAGGAGGAGGAAGGCAAATGCAAAAAGAAACAGATTTTGTTAGAAAGGCCTGTGTTCATGAACCCCGGTCCAGCGCCTTCACACATGGGGGGAGAAATCCACACTTTTCCAGCACAGAGGTGGTTTGCTTCGGAAGTCTGGGCTTATTTTTTGGAGCCAGGGACCATAATTACCACCTCAGGGGTGCGAGGGCGCCACGGCGGCCTCACAGTCCCCGGAAAAATGGGAATTTCTCCTCCTCTGTGAAAGCGCTGTCATCATCATCATCATCGTGCCTGCTGCGAAATCAGACCCCGGGAGCTGCACGCACTGACACCAGCCTGGATGACCCTCTGAGCTGAGGTTGATATCTAACCTTGTGCCTTTCAATGCATGCATTATTCTGCTAGTGTCCATTGGTTTTAGTGGCTTCATACTTCGCTGAAACAATCCTGAAGGCCAAATTGGTGGATTTAAGGATTTGTGGTGAACCATGGGCATGAACTTTAAAAAAAACATTTTGCCACTTTGGTTCTTCAAGTATTTCTCTTAGAGTTCCTTCCATTCATTTTAGCATCAATGGACACAAGCCAGACCATGTCTTGGTTTCTGGATGCTTATTCTTGTTCCAGTCCGCTACATATTACTTGGCTATAAAAGGCCACCTTTGCTTTCAATGGGAGACCTGGCATGTAGCATGGAACAGAAATCTCTTGAGTGAAAGACTGGTAGTGGCATTGAGGAAGGGGATAACGATTGACTGGCTGTGATTAATTAGATGGGGTTTTTCCTGTGTCTACTCTATCATCGGGCTTTGAGGAAAAGCAGCCGACAGTGATTCATTTACTCCCAGTGTGTACTGCAGAGGGGTCGGACTAAGCAGCTAGGCGGCACCACCACCGACAAACCTTGACAGTCAGGATCTGATTGCTGTGCAAAGCAGCCAGCGTAGGGAGACCAGGCAATCCCTAAAGGGACAAACAGCAGAACATGGCACAACACACGCATGACATTCAAACACTGGGTGAACAAAAACAGATAAAGGAGGAAGAAGATAAGCATCCTGCTTATAAATATTGTTACAAATTTGTCAAGTAAGATGTGGGATTTAAAAATAATTTCCTAACTTCTTTTTCTAATTATCAAAAGCCAAAATCAAATTTATCTGTCAAGCAATTAGTTTTGAGGACCAGACATTTCAATTATATATATATACACATAAACACGACCAGCATTTTATTTTCAAAATTCACCACTTAAACAAGTCCATGTTTTGCTCTGACGTGAAACAATGGCACTGGGGCCATCTGGTGTAGAGAGTGTGTTACATAGTTAAGTAACCATTTCCTGTTGTTTTCTTTCAAATATACAGAGAGAACATTTGTTGAGATGATTATTAAAGAACAGACTCCGCACTACAATATGCTGGTCAGTTGAGGAGTGGTATTGTTCATGGAGTTTTGGGGAACATCACAAGATTGAAATGTTCACTGGAAATTCAATCAACTCCTATTCCCTTGTCAACAATCTTGATGACAGATGTGATCCGCTCATGAAAACTGAATTAAAGAAGAAAGCATCGGGTCTTCTGCTTGTTAAGAGGAGACAATGGTTTATAGTGGAATATAAGCTTTGATCTCAGTACAGAAACACTGACATATCGTTAGCTAAACATGGTTTTGAATGTTATTCTCAAATGAATGCACCCCATTAAGTTTTATTCTTTTGGGGGATACTCTCCATACGTAGACATATACATTTTTATTTTCTTGCATGACTGTGGCCTTACTGACAAGACTTTTACAGTCACAATGCCATATAAATGTCCACTGAAACATGAATTGATTCTTTGCTAAATAGCTTAGCAGTGGTAAATAAGCTAGGGAGGTCTTTCAAGTTTTGGGGAGGTCTGTCGAGCCAAAGCAGTGTGCATGAGGTTGGTGTCTTTTTTTTCCAAACCAAAAATAGTAGAAGTGGATTAAACGGTGCATTTGTCTGCTGTAATGTAAAAGCCACAATCATTAGCATGACGGCTAACTAGCTTAGTACATACAGTAGTAACTGAGCTCCATTAACTAACTCTTTAACTACATTCATTTGTGGGGTTATAGGTGATATTAACAAAAGCACTGTTCACCACTAGCACATCCACTGTGTAGCATTTCCTCACTGTGTGGAAGCTGGTCCTGGATGCTATCAGAGTTTAGGGTAATGTTAGCAGCTCTGTCCTGCTCTGTATTTGATTTGGGGAAGTTTACACTCCAGCAACCTCAGCCAACCTTTCCCGAGATAGTGTTACGTTTGCCAAACACATAAGTTCGTCCTCATCCTAAAAAGCCTTTTCCCCTGTAACGTTAAAATTAAAAGCATATGGTCGGAAAATATGAACAAGTACTTAAGCTAAGAATGGAGTAACAGCCTGACCTTACGTTTTGCTCTATCATACCAGGAATACTTAGAAGAACAAGCTCTAAACTGAAATAAATAACAATATCATTATTTTATGTCTTCCACATAGATCGTCAGCTGGTGACAATATTGACTTTTTGCCTGGGACATGCAGCTTTTACCACAATATCATCTATGTATCATCCGTCAAGTGCATAAGACCTCTTTTACAAGACCCTCGTTTTAAAATGAGTCATACTGCTTGCTTAACTAGCTAGCTAATATGGGGTCAGGAAAAGCTGACATTGCAGATGGCAAAAGCAACAGTTGCTGGCTGGGAATAGGAATATTTCGTCAACTAAACAAACTTTCAGGAGGTTAATCTTGAGGCGGTATCATTGTAAACTATGTCAGTAACAGTAAATAAAGGGGGCGGGACTTAGAAGAAGAACAAGCAAAAATTGATTGTGATGGCACATTTTCTTGTTCATCTGCTGCAGGTTTTGCTCCATTGTAAATAACCAACCTGAATGAGCTGATGAAAGTTCCTCTCAAAAGACTGGCACACTGACATAAACATGCGCTGTACGAGATCAATCTTCCTCTATATTGAAGCTTAAGATAAAATCTGGCCTATCCAAACATGGATTTGGTGCCATCCCTCTGGTTTTCCACAGATAATTCAAAAAGCATGGCTCATTAAGAACATGGCTTTCAAGGCAGGCTGATTGAATTCAGCCCTGCTGCAGAACAGTGCAATGGATACTTTTACACTGCAGACAATAGCCATTCTGTGCTTAACTGGGATTGAAGCGCAAATATTTCTCAAGTTATTTACAACCTCAACCATGTTGAGGGCAAAAAAGGAAAACCAAGTACTGGATTGTGGTCTGAGGGGAGCGGACAACACAAAGAGTCCTGGCATGAAAATGTGGTGTGGTGCATCTGCAGGCTGGCACACTGCTCACTGGGTTGCTGCATGCTTGCTTTTACAATCATTCTGATACATATGCTGGGAGGAGACTGCAGAGAAGCTGCGGCCAGGTCGACAGCATGTTGACAAGCTCGCTGACCAATGTGTGTTTGACATGTGGGGGGAAAAAAATTGAATGGTTATCTGACCAAAAACCAGTGGTTTGATCCGTCTCTGCAGGAGATGTGAGAAAGAGGAGAAAAGCTGGACTAGGTGTGGGTTAATGCTCACCCTGCACTGCCTCTGTGCTGATGTCTATGTGTGAGAATGATAATGATAATGGCGGTTGACAGAGAATCCTAACCATTCACAGATTGCTTTGTTTTGCTTTTCTCCTCCAAAACGGATGTTGATTATTTGGTGATGAGCTCTATGGCTACGTATTTGCCTGGAGCGAGATGCCTGCAACTGTAGTAAACAAAAAGCAAGATATGAAGACAATCAGCAACAGCCGTTATAGGACGCTGGCCAGAACCAGCATCTCCCTGACCACACCAAACACACAAAGCACCCCCAGCAACTACAGGCTGTGGCATTTTCTGAATATCTATATGTGGAGTGGATTTCCAACCCTGCATACAGATGTCTTTTGAAGCCTCAGATTTGGCATCAGTCAGATACATCAAATGTATCTCAAACGAAATTCATTTAAAGCTTCTGATTTCATGTGCAAACAGCACACTGTAAAACACTTCTTTGTTCACAACTGAAAAGTCAAATGCTGGAAATTGCATAACCACACTCTTTATTTTGGAAGGACATTGGGCAAATTGGTCAAATCCCAAGATGTGAGAAATAAAGCACTGGACAAACAAGGGCAGAACTTTTTTTTTTTTTTTTTTGTGTGAAATCTCTGGAATTTTTCCTGTAACTGACCCAGCAATTCACCAACCTTTGCTTGACAGCTGGAGCCAGTGCCATTGCTCAAAAGGACCACACACACCTTTCTTGGTGATACACAAAGCCAGTAAACTTGTGTTAATTATATCCCACCAGTGGAGCTCGAAAGGTGGCCACACATTTGTTTGTCAAAACCGGTCAATTTATTATTTGTTGCTTGGTTAACCTTTGACGTTTGGATGTGGCCACTGACCCTCGGGGTCGACAAATGCCTGACCCTGACATGTGGGGAACAGGCAGAGGATGTGTGGCGTCTGTGAGGAAATTCTGCCAGCCATGTGGCGATTCTTACACTCTTACACATCTTTGGCCACAGAGGTTCTGACTTGACCCCTTGAAAACATACATGCAAACACAAACAGTCGGTCCTTGAAACAATTCTAAATTTAAATCTGTTTAGATTTGATGTAATCTGGCAGACTGCGCTGTGGAGAGGACATATTCTTGACATGCTCTGTTGTTTACATGTCCCTCCATATGGGTTTAATCAACTCTCTGCACACAGCCAGTACTGGGCATGAAATGAGCTTCATTTCCAGCCAGAGAGATAGAGTCAAGGTCAGGCAGAACTTGTCCTGTTATGCCTTCGTTTATTAAGGAAATCTTCCTAATACTGTTCCACTACATTTACCTGCTAATCTAATGTGCAAAGTCAATATGCCATTCCGGGGAGGTAATATGATTTGGTGGTGACCTAGAATGCTTTTATGCCTCTGCAGTCCTTCATATGTAACTGTGACTGTGTGTTAATTTGTACCGATTAGCGGACAATTTTGCTGTAATTGGAAATTAATGAAATGCTATCTTGAAGTGGACAGTTTATTTATTTACTCTGCAAGACAAATAGGACCTGGCTGGTCCCTGTTACAACTCTGTCAGCCACACTGCTGTTTCCAAAGTATAAATCATTTAACTGATAGAGACAGATGACTCCATTTCCGAGGTTAAAAGGGTACAAATTACGGACAAAACCCAAGAAATTCTATCCAAAAGGGGAGAGGTTTACTTCCATTCAATTCAACAAGAGACCAAAGATATTTCCTTTCTGTCTGTTTGCAGCAGATCAGCTCTTGCAAGTACAACGATTATCCAATACTTTTTATGTCATTAAAAATTAACTAAGGTTATCACAAAGCTGGAAATGTGTTCGCAGATCTTCTGAAAGTGTGAAAACACTCGAAGATCCGCGATCCCTGTGAACTTGGCTGTCATTCGAGGAGGGCGCATTTGTAACATTAGACGTATCACTCTTAGACCACTAATCAAATTTCACAGGGAAGGTCGTTTGTATTGACTTCCAAATCATAAGAAACGCGATGCTTTGACGCGCAGAACTGGCCCAGAGGAGAGCTGACAAAGTTAATCGGCAAACTGCAAAACGTCCGGGTGGGCGCCAGTACTGAATTGGGATCAGATCCACTTGGGAGATGGCTGGTGTTTTGGTGACAAGACGGACCTCTGTGTTGTTGTGTGCTCTTGTCCTTGTGCTCCAACCTCTGCATGCTCTCTGCCCTCATGGAAATCAATTACAGGCATTCAAAGCGACTTTGACTCCGTACGATCTACTCTTGGTGACGACAGCAGACACAGAGGAAGTGAAAAGTCTGTGTATGCCTTCGCACATGTGACCCCGGTTAATGCAATCTAGTTTAAACAAACCTTTGCGGGCAGATTCTTTTTTTTTCGAAAGAAAGTTCATTTTTTAAACATTTTTGGAGAAAAATGAGGGCTGCGCGGGCTGTTCGGTGGAGATAGAGTAATTAATTTCAGAGTCTGTCGAGCACGAAAAAGCACTCACATTATCATCATTTAGAAGCTGCACTTTGATAGAAATGTCAAACTACGGAGCTGGAAATGATTAAAGCTCTGAATACGCCATGTCACGTCGAGGAGTGAAGTGAATCACCAGTAATTATACAGACAGAGCTTGTTGGCTTTTGATTATAGTTGAGATTGAGCAGATTTCTTGTGCTGGTGTGCACAAGCTGTTCAATTTGAAGACAAAAAGGTAAAAAAAAAAAAAAAAAAAAGGTTTTTGCATATATCAAAAAGCAGACCACAGCGCCTTCCAAGGTATCTTGCACATTTGCCTGCCCACTCTTGTTGTAGAAATAAGCAGTGCTGAAATGCTTATTGTATTTGGCCAGATGGGAAGAACACTATCCCAAGAATTTCATGCATCTCAAACCTTTTGCCCACAATTCTGCTGGGGGAGACACACACAGTCACATTCGTCAGCTAATCACAAGAAATTGGAGTAAACCGCATACCCGTGGTCCCTGGTCGCCTTGATCCCCCTGCGGAGGGCAAGAAAAAAGAATGTCTTGAAATGCAAGGGTCAAACACACACACACACACACACACACACACACACACACACGAGACAGACACGAGTACGGTGCCAATAATAAGCAGAGGCTCACACCGAAATCACTGAGGCATAATTCAGAACACATTGATAAAGAGAAATAATACAGGAACCCTCAGCTATTCATTGTGGTTGACAGTAAAATCACTTATGATAACAGGGACTGACATGAATTGAGTATGAAAGAAAGAGAGAGAGAGAGCGGCGGTGTGAGGTTTGGTGGGTTTTGGTGAGGGGGGCTGAGTGTGGGCGAACTGCATTGCCAGGCCAGATTTTATGCCCCAGAGATCTTTGGCTTTCTGCCTTTTCTGGGGGTAGATCTCTGCGGATGGAGCATGTTCCTGAAGAAGAAAAAACGTTTTGGTTTTTGACTGAACCTGCATGGTGAAGACTGTGGGTTTATCACATTAGAGTGAAACCAAACCAGAAGTAGACTTTTGTTTGAAATAAGTGAAGGAAGACCGAATGCTGGACCTTAATCTGTCTAGAATCGGATAACTGAACATCCTTAAACCATCTGATTTGATGCGCTCCGCTCTCCTGTTGGCTGAGTTACAATTTAGCCACAGCAGTAAAACGAGCCGAACAACTTATCACACATGGATGGGAATTTTGCTCAAACAAACGTCAATGTAATGCCTGAGCAATTTCAAATAAAACAGCTCTCGGAATTTTTGTAATTTTTCATTGGGCAGTCGCTCCAGAACCAGATTTAACGGGAAAACAGTTGCGAACGGCCACGCTGATGCGCGCTTTAGTCATCTTGGGTGGGAAGGAATGAACACAGTTGTTTTTCATTTCATTAAACTGCAGATGAAGTGGTTCACATGAGAGGCATGAACATGCATCTAATCAGGAAGACTGGGTCATAACGGACCCTCGACATTCATTTTTATCTGGTTTTGTAAGTCATACTTATGACTTCTATTTTCAGCTTTAAAAGGACACTAACTGAGAAAAGAAAAAAAAAGAAAAAAATCACACTGCTGATTCACGATGTTTGTCAGCGATGTCATTCCACACCCCACATTACTAGAAATCATCAGTTACCATAGAGTGCAGCTTGTCACGGATGACAACCGAGATCATCAGTTTCGCTGTGTTTAACTGTAGCTCTGGTTTGCACTCTCATGCCATTTCATCTTATTTCTCATTTTTTATATCTGAATAATCCTTTAAATATAATGTGTTATTGCGCAAGTTGTTGCTAACCTCACACAAAATGTGAATAAACACTTAAATTTATTCATTGCTATGTTGTAACAGGCCTTGATCTTCCCCAGTAGCGTTTTAGAAGTAAGCACTTTAAAATTGAACAGCCACTTGTTTCCATTATACCTGAATTCAGGGACTTTATCAACTTTGGTGTGAATTAAAGGGATGTCAGGTTTTTAGTCTTTCACAGCAAAGCCACGGTCACACATTTGTCCCCGAATCCTGCAGACTTATAAAGAGACAGTGTGGTTATGTTGCATGCTCCACTGCTGTTTTATGGAGGAATGCTCAGCGAGGCATTTAAGGGCTTCAACTCTGGCTCTGGCTTTCGGTCATTAATGTTCTGTGCTGTGGATTTGTGAACGACAGGAGAATTTAAATATTCAGACTCTGAGACTTGGGGTCAGGATGACTTGAATGTGAATTACAGCAGGACTTGCAAGATGAAACTCTTTATGGACAAATTAAGTGTGAGGAAAGCAAAAACTAAGACTTTTATTATCTTGACCTGTGAAAATGTCTGAGGGGTGAGATTTTAAAGACTGAATTTCACATGATTCTTATAAGAAATTATTTAACATTTTGGGAAATGAGAACATTCACCTTTATGCCAAGAGTTAGATGAGAAGATTAGCACTGCTGTACAGTCTGTCTACATGTCTGTACAGTGAATATGAGGCTAGTTAGCTCTGCCAAAAGACTGGAATCAGGAACCTACCTTTGTGCTAAGCTAAGCTAGCACAAAGACCACATCTAGCTTAGCACACACACACACACACACACACACCCGCACGCACAGTGCGAGTGGTATCAATCTTTTAACTAACTCTCTCTACATAAAGGCGAGGAAGCACATTTCCTAAAATGTCATCCAAATGCCATATCAACCAAAATATAAAATGCACTCACCTTTTCACCCTTCAGACCTGGAGGACCCTGCAAAGAGAGAAAAAGGATGTTTCAAACTTTACACAAAAATAACAAGAAAATGTCAAACAATGGTTCATGTCAGTTAGCTGTAACCGTTCTGGTGCCATGGCACACTTTGCTTAGATACAATCCTCCAACTGTGAAAAACCAGGGTGACCAATCATGTTAGCAAAGAAACAAACAGAGCGGCTAAACAAGACGCGAACATCATGAACTTTGAGGGAACTGCTGAAATCAAAAGATTAACAAATTGAGTTTTGATGAAACCAACATTGTGTACTTTTTGACATCACTTTCATCGTTTGATTAAAATGACCTGTCACAGACTGGGAACTCGTACCTTATGCATTGTAGACAGCAGGGCTTATATAAACATACAATTAAAACCAAAAACAGGCCCAAATCAAGTCCATGTTTACTTAGAGGATCGAATCCAGAAATCTCCAACCAAGCATTGGAAAGCACATTGTAAAAAAAAAAAAAAAAAAAAAAGTGCCCCGATCGAGAGGAACACTTCTTTTTCTCTTAAACGCAGCCGTTTTTGTAAGCAGCTTTGCATCCAATGTCTGTCAATCAGCAGGCAGGGGCTCCTGGGTGGGCTCAGTAACAGATCATGGTCGAAGTAGAGGATTTTATGAGGAGATGTGCATCTATACGCCTCGGCCCTAATGAGCTTGTGTTCTAAAAACAGTATTTTTAACATTGAAGTGGAAGGATGAAGTTCAGTATGTTGGGCTCTGTTTCTTCCTCTGAGGTCGGACTTTTGGAAAAAGCTATCTTTGGAAAAATCAGTATTAGATCGGTGTCAGCAGAGTGACTAACTGACCACCCGCTTTGCAACAATGTTCACGAGTCCCTGGAGAAACTGAGAGAGACTGTTGTGCCAATGCTAATCTGTATTTCTCATGAAAAACTATCTGTCGAACACATTTATTAGAGACTACTTGTTTTTTCTGGTCAAAGAGAAAGTTTGTATTTGAGACCAGATCTGAATCCTTTCCAGTCACTTCAAAGTTTTGGAAAACCGTGCATCTCTTCATCTAACTTCGTCACTGCTTTTTTAGCTGCCAATCAAAATGTCAGGTATGTGCTCAGGTAAAAAGAACAAGTTGTTCAGCTGTCACCAACACAAATGTAGTAACAGCTGTGCAGCGGCTACTTGTCCAGGATCACACTGGTTTGTTTCCAGAGATATCAGACACAGAGAAAAAGAACACTGACACTAATCCATAGATTGATGACATTAGGGTAAAACCAATGTTTGGATGCTGTTCCTCTGAGTTAGTGGGCCAGTGACCCAGAATAGCAGGCTTGCAGACACAGACAGGCTTCCACTGCATTGGCACATAATAGCAAAGTCTGAAAGTGAAATGCTTCAGAGGTAGTCCAGCACTTTTTCCTCAGCCAATATCTACCACACTGCTCTGGGGGAAGTGAGCTGTAGCCAGGTTTCTGCCTGCTCAGTGTCTTTGGACATTATTTTTGATGCATAGTTAACCATCTGTAGCTTTTTGTTTATGTATAGCCGTGCAAGCACAAGCATGCGTGGTGCATCGCGCTATTGATTCAAATAGGAGGCAAATGTGTTCGCTTCAACAACCACAAAAAAAAAAAGCTGAGGGGAAGTGCTGCTTTAATACACACACACACACACACACAGATACACACACATCCAAGGAGGTGGTCCCGCTGCTTACTTGACTGGCCATACCAAGAGCCACAACACACTTGTAAACACAAAATGCGCCATTATGAAAACAATGTTTGAGATTGCGGTTCCCTGGGGGCGAATAACAGAGGCAACATATTGGACTCAAACGTGACTTTTACTTTTATAATGACGCAGAGGCATTCCAGAGCGGCAAAATAAGTTTCCAATGTGCTCCTGAAAATGGAGGGCAGCTAAAGGAAATCAGTCCAGGCTTCTTTTTTTTTTTGTTGTGAAGGAAAATTGCCTTTGGACAATAGGAGGTTATTGACAAGCTGTTACTGCAAATATATGAATGGCTGCAACAAGGAAATACATAAATATACCCAATGCAGCTTTTTGCACAAGCCTGCGTAATGTATTATGTCTGGCACTGTAAAATACATCTAGTTGGCACGCACAATTGCTGGGCTAAATGACTGGGCACCATACGTTTGTGGAAAGAAATGAAAAAATCTGTTTTATAGGATTTAGCATTTCAATAAATTCAGATTGTTTCAAGATAAGAGCAGCAACGTAGTGAAACCTGATCAAATCCCTGCTGAACTTCCATAATAGGGCAAAAAAGCATGTCTGTATTTTGATTATGAGGGAAGAAATGAGGAAAGGTCACAGGTGTTAGATACTGACTTAACACTGGCTGGTAGTGAGAGGGTTGCTGATTCATGTAACATTGTGTAAACAGGGTCGGCGTAATGAGCTATAGCTTCAGCCTACATCTTTTTCAGCCAATGCTAATCAGGCTTTATTTCTAATGTATAAATATAAATAAGGAGCGAAACAAACAAGCTGAAGCTGATGATACATTTCTACAGTAGATATCCTAGATTAATGATGAACTAAATCGATGATTCCCTGTCAAATAAACTCAAGCACCCCTTCCTCATCACCGCCATCTTTTTTCAACCTTTTCATCAATTAGCGTTTAGCTCTTTAACCTTCTCTGCATGTTCGCCAACTAATTTTCATGCACTCTCAACATGTGGTGTTCAAGTGCCTCAGTATGTGGATATATTTTTTCATTCAAATTCAATTTTTTTTTTTTCTTTCAAATTATTTCAGCTTCTCCATAATCTAAATATGTAGAGCAAAGCAACTGCAGATGTACCCCCTGTGGTAGAAGTACCACTGGCTGGGAATCACTATCTTCTATCTCTGATATCTATGCTTGATATACAACAAATGTTTTCCTATCACAGATGTTAAACTGTATTAATAAAATAAAGACTTGCTAATTATAATTCACTCAGCAGCATTTACCGATTTGTACTTCACACTAAGTGGAATGCTGCTTTTGACACACCTAATCATATCTTGCTCAGATCTTGCTCATTTTCCTCCTCTTCTAGCTGGTTGTAAAGCATGTGGCAATGATTTCACTTCACAGCCTGCACCTGCTCATTATACGGCCCATCATTTGCACATCACTCGGACAGACGGCATCCACTGGAGCTTTTCCAAAAGGTTTAAGTGCGTACAGTGAGGGTCTTTTATAGAGACTATTAAACAGCTCTCCTGCAAAGACTATTTCAAAAGGAGCAAACTGTACTACAGCAGAACTGCAGTGGGTATCTATTTGTCAAGCCGTCTCTGCAGCTTTGTGGTTTCAGTCTGCCCCGAGGAAGGTTTCTCATCAGCACCTGTGTATGCTTTTCACATCTTTTTTACAGCTTCTGCTCTGGCTCTCTTTCAAAAGCAGCCCTGCAGCAGGTGCTTCATGGCTCATCAGGCTGCTCACGGTGCATTAGCGAGTTGGTTTGTTGAACATGATTAACCCTCTATAGTATCATCAGTACCTTTATATTCCAATCACACTGGATTCTCGAGTGGCCACGTGCATGTATGTTCTGAAAAGCATGCCAAGATATGAAGCTACCGGCAGCATCCGGGTAGCGTGAGGATAGAGTCTTGTCATCGCCCTAAGGTTGCCAGGCAACCAGGGGGGGACTCCAGGAAGTTTTTGTAAAAATTAGAGAGTTATATTAAGATATTACATGCTAAATACTGAGCTTTAGAGGTGCTGGTGAAGCCTGGTTTGTTACCTGTGGACAGAGGTAAGCTAGCTGTTTCCTCTGTGTTCTTGTGCTAAGCTAAGCTAACTGACTGTAGCAGGTAGTAGATTCATATTTGTCAAATGTCAAACAATATCTTTAATAGATTTGTATAGAAAGTAAGATATTGTTGCTCTTTCCATGTGCATCTCAAAGTATTTCACTGTTGTATTTCCCAGAAAAACGTCTTTAAAAGTTAGTCCCAGTGTAAGTAACTTACAAAATATCAAATATGTTCTCCCGATGTGTTAAGATGAACAAATTGCAGCTGCCCCAAAGCATAAGCCCCATATCCACTTATTGAAAATGACACACATCAGGTTGATGGTAAGCCTCACATCTTCTGCTGCTTAACGCTGGGCAAACTTATGTCAAACTTCCATCATGAATTGATTTGTAACAGAACTTCCTGTGTGCATGATATTGTCGAGTTGGTGGACCACTGGATCAAGATGCAGCTTTTTTTTTTTTTTTTCCTATCCAGATACATGCATAGCTTCTCATTCCAAGCCAAACCGTGACCACTGTCTCCTGTAATGGCCTGAATGAGCTGTTGGTATGAAAAAAAAAGAAAAGAGGAAACCCCTGCCACCTTTAAAATAGAGTGGGGGAGAAATATGGAAAGGTCTGCAGGGAAATATAAAAAGGCAAAGGGAACTGGAGCCAAATCCGCAAGCAACACAGAGAACATGGCCATTCATATTTGAAAGTTTGGCTTAATAACTTCATATTATAAGGAAAGAGTAAATGATGCTCAATAAACTGATCCGGGCACTGTGGGACATTTCATATGCGGCTCCTGCAATGATGATTAAAAGTGTTGCGACATATTGTGACCATGTGCCGCTTTCTCACAGATTTACTGATCTCTAAATTATTACAACTTGGTTTCCATCCTTATGTCTCTGGTGTCATATGTAATATGGACAAAACTCAACTTAAGCTGCTGCTCATATCAAGCCCTTAGTGGGATTTTATTTGTATTGTTTTATTTATGGTCTCTATATGTAATGTTTATGTATCTGTGATAAATTATGATGGGATCTGTGATGTTTGTAATATTCAAAATATTTTATTTTCATAAATATGTGCCTGATCTCGAATAAAGACAACTGATCTAGTGACTGATTGATTTAAATACACAAATTCAGTATTTCCATTGTTATTCCTAGGCTAAAGTCCTGTTTTTGTAGGCCTGTAATCAACCAAGAGAAATGGTTTAACTCCGCACTCTCACACCAACTCAC